AAGAGAAAGAGTTTATTGCATAAGATGAAACATAAGGTTCATTAATTTGTAATAAAATTATACTACAAATAACAACAGTACAGCACATCTATGTGAGCAAACCATTTACCACACAGCATGCTCTCGGGGGTTGCTCAGTACTCCTGACAAACAACACACCTCAAAATACACAGCAGAGATCAGCCCCTGGAAATCCCTCAGGGACAACTGAGTCTGTAACACAAACACTAAACAGGGACTGGCGTCTGGTAAACCCTCGGACCCGGCAGCATGTATCTGGGTCTCACTTTGTACTCCGGACGAATGGCACCCAAGATTATACTTTAACGAACTTGTGCGCAGACATCAGCCTCTGGAAATACCCCTCAGAGACAACCGACTCTCGCAATACCAACACTAAACAGGGACTGGCGTCCAGTAAACCCTCGAACCCAACCAGTCATCGCAACAACAGTAGTACTGACAATACAGGGACGACAACGCGTATCGAGGCACTGTTTCGTACTGCAGACCAAACAGTAGGCCTGGGATCACACCTTGACATACACTGGAGAGATCACAGAACCATCACACACAATCAGAGAGTGGCTCCTGGAAACCCAACAGGAACAACCAGCTCTTCTCCCAGCAACTGACTCGTGCTGCCGACCACTCCTCCTCTTTCACTTTTCATGGTCACTTTCTTACTGGAGGTAAATTCCCTCATCCCTGTACATATACATATACAATAGAATCATATTGATTCCACTGGGAAGTGCGCTCACTCTCTACACAACTCCCAACTATTTCAAAGTTACATCTTTCTTTTATGTATTTCTAACTCATTAGGGCCCATTATCTCAGAGGAGTGAACATCTTCCCAGGAAAATATGCAATGTTATCAGAAGCTAACCTCAACCTCAGCCCGTTCAGCAAAGCTACTTTTAACCATTCAACTATCTAACCTTCTGGAACATTCGGTTGCTGTTTGAAATATACCAAGGCACTCCAAGGTGATAGTCGGTATATTTCAACAGTGTATGAGGGTTTCAGTGGTCTGAGGGGTGAGGCAGTGGCGGAGTGCTGCCAGTGCCTGAGGTATGGACGCGCTGGTGCGAGCCTATCAGGAGGTCCTTGGTCTTGCTGATGTATCCTGCTTACCCAATACCGGAAAGTATTAGGCACAGGTTAGCAACAGCCACGGCTTGGAGACTTCAAACCCCTTGTGCATTGGGGTACTGCTGGAGTTTAACCAGCTAAAACCACATAGCTTGCCATTACTGTGATAGCACTGTCTGGCAAACTTTACCGCTGCTTGTCCAACGAGGACCATCCTCTCCGGTAGGGCTTTGCAGGGTTGACAGGAACTAGTGGGAGGATTGCTTTCCCCCAGTGATCGGTCTGCCCTTCTAAGTCCTGCCGATGAGCCACACTGGCGTCAGTCAGCAGCAGTACTACCGAGACTGCCACAGAGGGCTGTCTCGATTCTGACTTTAATTTGCATGTTTAGAACCTGGAAATTTCCTCTCCTGTAGTATGTGCAGGAATAACCCTGCTGATGTTGTTTAAGAGTTATTTATTTCAGGAAGTTGCTTATCTTGATATAGTTTTTACTTGACTGGTATAGCACTAACCACAAATCACAATGACTTCCTCCTCCTTCAGGGTAGTCAGCACACCAGTTGAGAATACAGTACTGCTTTCCTCAGCATTTTTCATGTACATGAGATATGGAAGAGGTCAAGATTGTAAAGTGAAATTAACGTTCTTGTGTTTCTCACGGTTGCCTTTGGGGGATCTCGGGTTAATGTCTCATTCGAATGACGGCACGTCCAATACAGCATTCCCACGGCACCGTGTCAGCATAAACTGTGAGTTCAAAGTCTCTGATGTGGGACTTGAAGGCACAGCCTCAGAGAGGAGTGTTACCAACTGAGCCAGTTTAAGACCTAATTACTCATTGATTAATGTGAAAGTGCTTCTGAATTATCTTACATACACCCAATCCCAGTGATTAATTTGCACTTAGAACCTGGGATTTCCTCTCTAGCAGTACTAGAGAACTTCCCTTTAATGCCAGAAAGTCTGTAGTTCCCTTTGAAAACTTTTAGCTTTCTTAGCTGATCAAAAGATTTTTTCTAAAAGACTCTCCTAGCTCTGTAACTCAGAATAACTCTGGACTTTCCAAAGAAGCAGCAAAGACTGGGCAGATGTCACACTAAATATTAAACTGGATTATTCTATTCACTGTGACTATATCTGTAGAAAGATATAATTAAGAAAATTCATATGGTTGCAGATATATCGCAGCATTCAGCTGGGCTCAGACTTAAATCAGAATTTAACAGGATATAATAAATGTGAATTAGTTATAATAAATTCTATCACAAATTATATATTAAATATCCTTCTTCTCCCTGCATGTTCAATGCATTGAAATTAAATGTATCACATTGTCTCCTCCCTCAGTCTTCCCATTCCTACCAACTGAAACCTAAAGGCTTTTAAAACCCATTTGGCATCCTCCAACCTTACCCTTTTCGCTCATCCTCTCGTAAGCCTTGTTAATGATGGGCATTGGCCATTATTGGTCACTCACTCCATGACTGTGTGTGGGACATTGCTGAGTGCAAACTAACTGCCGTGTTTTTAAAAAAGAGAAAAGGAGTCATTGCTTTCCCAATGCTGCCCTGGAGTGTTAGTTTACAGTATGAGCTCAAGATTGGGATTGAAACCACAACCTTCTGACCAAGAGATGAAAATGAAAGCCCATCTGATCTCCTCCTTCCAGAATTCCCACCCTACTATCTGCTCATCACAGCATCAAGCTTATTTTTAAATGAATAGTGTCCTGGCCTCAACCATGTTTCCTAGTAATCTGTTCCAGTAGTTAATTATCGTCTGAGTAAAGAAAACACACTGAATAAAGAAAAAAGAATTACATTTGTATAACGCCTTTCATGTCAGGAGGACGTCCCAAGGCACTGCCTCAAAAGCTACTAATTGACATCCCTGGAGCTGGCTCCGATTGGGTGTTGTGTTTTCCTGTAACGTGACACTAAATACAATGTGAGATGTTGTCACATTAAAGCGTGCTTAGTACTTAATTAGTTCTATAAGGTTGGCATTCAGTAGGATTGAAAATAACTGATTTGGGGTGAAAAGTACAACCTTACTTTGATGCGACACACTTCGGAATAATTGAAAATGAATCACAAATGAAACCCTATGTGAACAGTTTCCTTGGTTTCACTCCAATTGCACAATACAAAATTACATCTTTATAGCGCCTTTCACATCGGGACCGACGTCCCAAGGTGCTGGGATTGTACTTTTACGTAGTGATAATTGTTTCGGTCAGCCGAGTGTCAGGCACTTGCGGAAACCCATCATATGCTTACGATTATCCAAACCAAACAGTTCCACATGTTTCCCTGTAACGAAATTCCACTCTCTCTCTCTCTCTCTCTCTGTCTCGGTACGCATCCTGTTTTAACTAATTCCAGAAAGTACTAAGTACAGGTCGACAGCAACAGCAACCTAATAATAATCCCTCCACAACAAAAAAAAAACTAGGAATAAATTGGTTCGTTTTCAATCCGCGGCCGTTTGTGGGGACGCGGTCTGCGCGCAATGGGCTGCCGCGTTCCGCCCACAAGTATACGCTCAATTCCCTTGACGGTCTATTCTGTGAAGAATATTCTGTCTATTTATTCTGTCTATTTTGTGGAGTCCTGTAGCTCAGTGGTTAGAGCACTCGCTTTGCAAGTGAGAGACCTGAGTTCAATTCCAGGCAGAGGGTGAAACCTTGGGCAAGTTTCCTTACTCCACACAGAGCCTAATAATAATCCCTCCAAAAAATAAAACAATAATTAAATTGGTCATTTTCAATTTACGACTGTTTGTGGGACATTGCTGTGCGCAATTGCTGCCGCGTTCGCCCACAAATATACAGTCAATTCACTTTACAGTGTGTTCTGTGAAGCGCTTTGGGACGTCCTCCCGACGTGAAAAGCGCTATATCAAATGCAAGGATTATTATTATTATTATTATAAGCGCTTTGAGACATCCAGAAGACCGGAAGAGCGCCGTAACGAATGCACGGACGATTGGAACAGCCAAGGATTGGGGGTCCCAGGGCGTGCGTCGGGGGGGGGGGGGGGGGTGGGGAGGGGGGTATCTTCCGGTATCTGAACCGACTGAAAAACCCCATCAGCTCGGCCGCCGCTGTCTGGCCAAGCCTTCCCCCCCCCCCCCCCCCGCTTGACCAGCTCGGCCCACCCTGCCCGGTACGTCAGGGCTTTGGCCGTGGGGTTAACCGGGAGCCGAGCGGGAGGATTCCCCGGTGACCGGTCGGCCCTTCCGGGTCCTGCCGATGAGCCGAGCCGAGCCGGACCGGGCTGTCATCGGGGGGGGGGGGGGGGGCGAGGGGCCCTGGAGCAGCCTGGAGACCCCTCACAGAGAGGGATGGGTTCCCACGCAGGAGAGGCTCCTTGACCTCACCAACATGGCGGCGGGTGTGGGGTGTGGGGTGAGGGTGGGGGGGGGGGGGGGCGGGAACGTGTGGCCGTTGGCCGCGGCCTCCTTTCCCGAGATGCCTGGCGCGAGCGAGGAGCGCCGCCTCCCGCGCTGACAACGTTGGGGCGGGTTTCGGACGCGGCCCCGCCCCCAATCGGGCGGGTTGGTCGCGCCTCGCGCGTGAGGAGGAGAGGGAGGGAGAAGGGGGGGGGGGGGAAAAAATCGGGCTACTTTTTGGGCTACGAAACGGATTATAACCGCCTCTCTCTCTCTCTGTGTGTGTGCGCGTGTGTGGGTGTGGGGTCGGGAGCCACGTCGCCGAGTGACGGGCCGAGAGCGGCCCGCGAGCGGCCGTGAGGGAAGGAGGGAGAGCAATGGCGAGCGGACTCCTCGCGCCCTACAGTACACGACACCCCCCGCCTGACAGCGCGGCCCACCGGCTCCTCACACACCGCCTGCCGCCGAGGCCCCGGCCCCGGCCCCGCTGAGCTCACACCCCGGGCCTCGGGTCTCCGGCCCCGCGCTGCTTGCCTCTAGGCAGGGTCATGAGCCAGCCAGGCCCGTGCCGGTCCCTCGCCTGGAAGGCCGTCCTGACCGTCGCTCTGGTGCTCGTGTACTACAGCTTCTCCATCGGGATCACCTTCTACAACAAGTGGGTGATGAGAGTAAGTGCGACAGGAGAAGCTGAGGGGGGGGGGGGTCACTGGCCAGGGCAGGGAGTGGGGAGTGGGGGGGGTCACTGGCCAGGGCAGGGAGTGGGGAGTGGGGGGGGTTACTGACCAGGGCAGGGAGTGGGTGGGGGGGGTTACTGACCAGGGCAGGGAGTGGGGGGGGGGTCACTGACCAGGGAGTGGGTTGGGGGGGTTCACTGACCAGGGCAGGGAGTGGGGGGGTGTGGTCACTGACCAGGACAGGGAGTGGGGGTCACTGACCAGGGCAGGGAGTGGGGGGGGTGTCACTGACCAGGGCAGGGAGTGGGTTGGGGGGGTTTCACTGACCAGGGCAGGGAGTGGGTGGTGGGGGTGGGTCCACTGACCAGGGCAGGGAGTGGGTGGGGGTGGGTCACTGACCAGGGCAGGGAGTGGGGTGGGGGTGGGTTCACTGACCAGGGCAGGGAAGTGGGTGGGGGTGGGGTCACTGACCAGGGCAGGAGTGGGTGGGGGTGGGGTGTCACTGACCAGGGCAGGGAGTGGGTGCTGGGGGGTGGGTCACTGACCAGGGCAGGGAGTGGGTGGGATGGGGTCACTGACCAGGAAAAATGCATCATGTTCATTCTGTGTTCCAGAGAAAAATATTTCTGAGCCTTTCACTGAATCTTGAACTCAACATTACAATCACAACAAAATATTGCATTTATGTAGAGCGTTCCATGTCAGGAGGATTTCCCAAGGTATTAGATTCCAGAGGGGTGGAGCGTTGAGATGGACCTGGAAGGAAGTTAGGAAAGGGACAAGGCGAAGGGACTCTGAGAGGGAGTTCCAGATAATAACAATAATAATAATCCTTGCATTTGATATAACGCTTTTCTAGACGTCTCAAAGAGCTTCACAGAATATACTGTAAAGTGAATTGACTGTATATTTGTGGGCGAAATGCAGCAGCCAATTGCACACAGCAATGTCCCACAAACAATCGTGAACTGAGTGACCAAATTATTATTGCATATCTTTTCTTGAGGGATTATTATCCCCGGAAAAGCGATCCGCCAAACGACTAACAACCAGGCTCCTACTTACTGCGAGGTAAACAGAAGTGTGGAGTAAGGAAACTTGCCCAACATTTTGCCCTGCCAGGTATCAAACTCAGGTCTCTCACTTGTGAGCCGAGTGCTCTAACCACTGAGCTCCAGGACTCCAGATGGTGGGGGCAGAAAGACTGAAGGCTCAAACTCTGACGAGGGGCGTGGATGTGAAGCAGGCCTGAGTCTGCTGAGTGGATAGAGAGTGTTGGTTGGTAGGGTTTCCGTAGGTTCCTGAGATACAGTGGGCCAAGACCATGGAGGGCTTCAAAAGTGAGGACTAGGATCTTGAACACTGGGGCTGGGGAGCCAGGGGAGGATGGGGGTGATAGGCTTGTGGAGCCTGCTGAGGACAGGAGTCCATTGCGGAGTCGGCAGAAGACACAGGCTGTAGATTTTTGAGTGATCTGTAACTTCTGGAGGGAAGAGTTGGAAAGTCCGGCAAGCAAGTGCAGACGTGATTTAGCCTGGACGCAGTACAAGCATGTATAAAGTTTTCGGCGGTGCGAAGGGAAAGTAATGGCAGAGGCAGGCAACGTTGCGGAGGTGGGGGAAGGCTGAAAACATCGAAGCATGGATGTGGCATTACATTTATTATATTTTTATAATTTTTTTTTATCTTGTAGAAATTTCATTTTCCTCTCTTCATGACACTGGGACATTTTGCGATAATCTATGTGCTGTCTTGGGTAAGCCGATTGCTTGTGGAGTGCTACTCGGGCAAATCACGCGTCTGCCTCCCGTGGAAACTTTATCTGAAGAAGGTCGCTCCCACTGGTAATTCCATTCACATTCTCCTTTCTCAGCTTTTCACACCACCATGTTGGGAATCCTAATGTCTGTTATCTAATTATATAATCAACGGCAAGCCTCTGTCCTCTCACTCATCAGACATCAGACATATTACTTACAAGAAATAAAGTTTTTCTTAAAAGGGCTCCAAACGAATTGATAGTGAGAACAACCACACATTGTTAATATCATGTAACTTTGTGCATGCACAGTTGATATGAAAACGCCTTTAGAAATTTCATTATGATTATATTGTATAAAGGATGAAATGGATGGTTCTTTCTTCCCATCTTATCCCACGGGTGTTTCTTTTACAGCTTTGGCCACGACTCTGGACATCGGGCTGTCTAACTGGAGCTTCCTATTCATCACCGTGTCCTTGTAAGTAGTAAATCTCAGCACGGGTCTGTTCACTACTGGGTTTGTTCACGGCACAGGCCTGTGTGTAACTTTTGTGTAAGACATTAATGTGTGGTTGCTCTCAGTATCATTTACTTCAGAGCCCTTTTTTTAAAAAATGCTCTTCTGGTCCCCCACTGGCCTTTATTGGCTACAAAAACTAACAAATATGTATGCGCGCACATATATTTCCAATGGGAGTAACAGAATAGCAATCGGAAGCAAGAGACCGAGTCGATTACACCCCCCACCACCAACTCTATCCAGTGATGCCAGAGCCAATTGTAGTGGCCACACATCTGACAGTTACACCTGAGATCTGCTATCTCAGCACAAATCAGGGTTGGAACATGGCTCAGTGTCATAAAATGCCCTCTTTGTTCTCAGGGGTCAGCCAACGCTCAGATGTGAACAACTTTGAAACGTTCCCTTGCACGGAAAGATTGGTTAACATTCCCTTATGCTCATTCTAATGCTGCTGTTTCCTCCTTTCAGATACACAATGACAAAATCAACTGCTGTCTTATTTATTTTATTTTTTTCCGTATTATTCAAGCTAGAGAAAATGGTAAGAGTTATCTCTATTGTGTTACCAGATTAAAATGGCAGATGACTGATACTGATCTTATATGATTTGCGACGGGAGGGAGGGGTGTATGTAGGAAGATAACGTTTCCTGCTATCTAGACCAATATTCCTCCCTCATCCAAACTCAATAACAAAAATGACCATTCATCCCCAAATAAAATTGGTCACTCACTCCATGGCTGTTCGTGGGACATTGCTGTGCTGCCGCATTTTGCCCACAAAATACAGTCAGTCCACTTTACAGCATATCCTGTGAAGTGCTTTGAAACGTCTCGAAAACGTAATAAGGTGCTAAATCATATGCACGGTTTATTATAATTATTATTTATGCACCTGGGATGAGTTATCCTGAGCTGAGTGCAGGTGGTTAGAGGGAACCCATAGAACTGACCTGCAGAGTGTGAATGCGATATAGTGCTGTGACAACGAAGTAGAGCAAAAAATAGATGTGATGCAGAATAATGAGTGAGCTGAGATAGTTCAGGGAAAATGGATTAGAAAGCTATATGGTAGCTTTTTTTTCCCCAACTCGGGTGCAAATCCTTAAGAGTTACGAGCAAAAGAGTTACGAGCATTGTATGGATTTGGACCTTTAAAGAGAACTGAAGATTCAAGCCACACATCATTCTGCTGCTATACTGGGGATAACCAGTGCCTTTTATATTAAAAGAATGTTTCCTATAATAAGGCTACACTTTAATATGCTTAGAAAGATGTGCTCCGAAAGTTCCCCACCCGTGAAAAACATATCTTAATTCAGGGAATGAATCACCTTTGATCAGTCTCTATTTCAATGAGTTTGACCCATTGTATTTGATCTGTACTTTATGTGTTCCCAGAGGCCGTGCTCAATCATAGTGATCTTGTTAATAGCAGGAGGCCTCTTCATATCCACTTACAAGGCAACCCAGTTTAACCTGGAGGGATTCATCCTGGTGTTGTCAGCATCGTTTATTGGTGGACTGCGATGGGCATTGACCCAGATTCTAACCCAGAAGGCAGAGCTTGGTATGCAACTTCACTGTGGCTGGGGGAGGAACTCGGAATCCATATAGTGGCATTTGTGTAAAGTTGCAGTATATCAGTGTGTATGAACTCTTTGTATGAACGTTAGCACATTTGCAAGAACTTTGCCTTTGTACAAAACTATGGTGGGGGGGTCACTGCCAGGGCAGGGAGTGGGAGTGGGGGGGTGTTACTGACCAGGGCAGGGATGGTGGTGGGGGGTTACTGACCAGGGCAGGGAGTGGGGGGGGGGGTCATCGTGGGGGCCAGGGCAGGGAGTGGGGGTGGGGGGGGGGTGGTCACTGACCAGGGGCAGGGAGGTGGGGGGGGGTGTGGTCACTGACCAGGGCAGGGAGTGGGGGGGGTCACTGACCAGGACAGGGAGTGCGGGTGGGGGGGTCACTGACCAGGGCAGGGAGTGGGGTGGGGCTTGGGGGTGGTCACTGACCAGGGCAGGGAGTTGGGGTTGGGGGTTCACTGACCAGGGCAGGGAGTGGGTGGGGGGGGGTCACTGACCAGGGCAGGGAGTGGGTGGGGGTGGGTCACTGACCAGGGCAGGGAGTGGGTGGGGGTGGGTCACTGACCAGGGCAGGGAGTGGGTGGGATGGGGTCACTGACCAGGAAAAATGCATCATGTTCATTCTGTGTTCCAGAGAAAAATATTTCTGAGCCTTTCACTGAATCTTGAACTCAACATTACAATCACAACAAAATATTGCATTTATGTAGAGCGTTCCATGTCAGGAGGATTTCCCAAGGTATTAGATTCCAGAGGGGTGGAGCGTTGAGATGGACCTGGAAGGAAGTTAGGAAAGGGACAAGGCGAAGGGACTCTGAGAGGGAGTTCCAGATAATAACAATAATAATAATCCTTGCATTTGATATAACGCTTTTCTAGACGTCTCAAAGAGCTTCACAGAATATACTGTAAAGTGAATTGACTGTATATTTGTGGGCGAAATGCAGCAGCCAATTGCACACAGCAGGTTCCCACAAACAATCGTGAACTGAGTGACCAAATTATTATTGCATATCTTTTCTTGAGAGATTATTATCCCCGGAAAAGCGATCCGCCAAACGACTAACAACCAGGCTCCTACTTACTGCGAGGTAAACAGAGAAGTGTGGAGTAAGGAAACTTGCCCAACATTTTGCCCTGCCAGGTATCAAACCCAGGTCTCTCACTTGTGAGCCGAGTGCTCTAACCACTGAGCTCCAGGACTCCAGATGGTGGGGGCAGAAAGACTGAAGGCTCAAACTCTGACGAGGGGCGTGGATGTGAAGCAGGCCTGAGTCTGCTGAGTGGATAGAGAGTGTTGGTTGGTAGGGTTTCCGTAGGTTCCTGAGATACAGTGGGCCAAGACCATGGAGGGCTTCAAAAGTGAGGACTAGGATCTTGAACACTGGGGCTGGGGAGCCAGGGGAGGATGGGGGTGATAGGCTTGTGGAGCCTGCTGAGGACAGGAGTCCATTGCGGAGTCGGCAGAAGACACAGGCTGTAGATTTTTGAGTGATCTGTAACTTCTGGAGGGAAGAGTTGGAAAGTCCGGCAAGCAAAGTGCAGACGTGATTTAGCCTGGACGCAATACAAGCATGTATAAAGTTTTCGGCGGTGCGAAGGGAAAGTAATGGCAGAGGCAGGCAACGTTGCGGAGGTGGGGGAAGGCTGAAAACATCGAAGCATGGATGTGGCATTACATTTATTATATTTTTATAATTTTTTTTATCTTGTAGAAATTTCATTTTCCTCTCTTCATGACACTGGGACATTTTGCGATAATCTATGTGCTGTCTTGGGTAAGCCGAGTGCTTGTGGAGTGCTACTCGGGCAAATCACGCGTCTGCCTCCCGTGGAAACTTTATCTGAAGAAGGTCGCTCCCACTGGTAATTCCATTCACATTCTCCTTTCTCAGCTTTTCACACCACATGTTGGGAATCCTAATGTCTGTTATCTAATTATATAATCAACGGCAAGCCTCTGTCCTCTCACTCATCAGACATCAGACATATTACTTACAAGAAATAAAGTTTTTCTTAAAAGGGCTCCAAACGAATTGATAGTGAGAACAACCACACATTGTTAATATCATGTAACTTTGTGCATGCACAGTTGATGTAAAAACGCCTTTAGAAATTTCATTATGATTATATTGTATAAAGGATGAAATGGATGGTTCGTTCTTCCCATCTTATCCCACGGGTGTTTCTTTTACAGCTTTGGCCACGACTCTGGACATCGGGCTGTCTAACTGGAGCTTCCTATTCATCACCGTGTCCTTGTAAGTAGTAAATCTCAACACGGGTCTGTTCACTACTGGGTGTGTTCACGGCACAGGCCTGTGTGTAATTTTTGTGTAAGACATTAATGTGTGGTTGCTCTCAGTATCATTTACTTCAGAGCCCTTTTTTTAAAAAATGCTCTTCTGGTCCCCCCACTGGCCTTTATTGGCTACAAAAACTAACAATATGTATGCGCGCACATATATTTCCAATGGGAGTAACAGAATAGCAATCGGGAGCAAGAGACCGAGTCGATTACACCCCCCACCACCAACTATCTAGTGAGGCCAGAGCCAATTGTAGTGGCCACACATCTGACAGTTACACCTGAGATCTGCTATCTCAGCACAAATCAGGGTTGGAACATGGCTCAGTGTCATAAAATGCCCTCTTTGTTCTCAGGGGTCAGCCAACGCTCAGATGTGAACAACTTTGAAACGTTCCCTTGCACGGAAAGATTGGTTAACATTCCCTTATGCTCATTCTAATGCTGCTGTTTCCTCCTTTCAGATACACAATGACAAAATCAACTGCTGTCTTATTTATTTTATTTTTTTCCGTATTATTCAAGCTAGAGAAAATGGTAAGAGTTATCTCTATTGTGTTACCAGATTAAAATGGCAGATGACTGATACTGATCTTATATGATTTGCGACGGGAGGGAGGGGTGTATGTAGGAAGATAACGTTTCCTGCTATCTAGACCAATATTCCTCCCTTATCCAAACTCAACAGCAAAAATAACCATTCATCCCCAAATAAAATTGGTCACTCACTCCATGGCTGTTCATGGGACATTGCTGTGCTGCCGCATTTTGCTCACAAAATACAGTCAGTCCAATTTTGCAGCATATCCTGTGAAGTGCTTTGAAACGTCTCGAAAACGTAATAAGGTGCTAAATCATATGCACGGTTTATTATAATTATTATTTATGCACCTGGGATGAGTTATCCTGAGCTGAGTGCAGGTGGTTAGAGGGAACCCATAGAACTGACCTACAGAGTGTGAATGCGATATAGTGCTGTCACAATGAAGTAGAGCAAAAAATAGATGTGATGCAGAATAATGAGTGAGCTGAGATAGTTCAGGGAAAGTGGATTAGAAAGCTATATGGTAGCTTTTTTTCCCCAACTCGGGTGCAAATCCTTAAGAGTTACGAGCAAAAGAGTTACGAGCATTGTATGGATTTGGACCTTTAAAGAGAACTGAAGATTCAAGCCACACATCATTCTGCTGCTATACTGGGGATAACCAGTGCCTTTTACATTAAAAGAATGTTTCCTATAATAAGGCTACACTTTAATATGCTTAGAAAGATGTGCTGCGAAAGTTCCCCACCCGTGAAAAACATATCTTAATTCAGGGAATGAATCACCTTTGATCAGTCTCTATTTCAATGAGTTTGACCCATTGTATTTGATCTGTACTTTATGTGTTCCCAGAGGCCGTGCTCAATCATAGTGATCTTGTTAATAGCAGGAGGCCTCTTCATATCCACTTACAAGGCAACCCAGTTTAACCTGGAGGGATTCATCCTGGTGTTGTCAGCATCGTTTATTGGTGGACTGCGATGGGCATTGACCCAGATTCTAACCCAGAAGGCAGAGCTTGGTATGCAACTTCACTGTGGCTGGGGGAGGAACTCGGAATCCATATAGTGGCATTTGTGTAAAGTTGCAGTATATCAGTGTGTTAGCTCTTTGTATGAACGTTAGCACATTTGCAAGAACTTTGCCTTTGTACAAAACTATGCAGTTTTTGCTTCTTAGAGGCCAAACACAGTAGACACCAGCTTCCAAGCCAATGCAAAGCTTCACTCGTATGAATGGAACCTCTCCGGCTCCTCTCCATACTATATTATTGGAGTAGCCTAATACAGGAAGAGGGATACGGACATCTTGAGTACCTCTCATAGAATCATAGAATTGTTTAGCACAAAAGCGGCCCATTCGGCCTATCGTGTCTGTGCCAGCTCTTTGAGATCCAATTCAATCCCACTCCCCCGCGCTGTCCCCATAGCCCTGCAGACTTGTCCTATCCAAATAATTATCTACTTCTCTCTTAAAAGTTGTTATCGAATCAGCTTCCATCACCCTTTCAGGCAACGCATTCCAGATCCGAACAACTCGCTGTGTGAAAAAAATTCTCCTCACTTCCCCTCTGTTTCTTTTAACAACTATTTTAAATCAGTGCCCTCAGGTTACCGACACACCCGCCAGTGGTAATAGTTTCTCTTTGTTCACCATATCGAACCCCCTTGAAAACTTCTATTAAGTCTTCTTAATCTTCTCTGCTCCAAGGAGAATAATCCCGGCTTCTCTCACCTCTCCTGATAACTGAATGCCCTCATTCCTGGTACCATCCTGGTAAATCTCCTTTGCACCCTCTCCAATGCCTTGACATCCTTCCTATACGTGGTCCCAAAAACTGAACACAGTCTCTTGCTGAGGCCTAAACAGTGTTTTATAAAGGTTCATCATAACTTCCTGACTTTTGTATTCGATGCCCCTATTTATAAAGCCTAGTGTCCCGTATGGTTTTTTAACAGCTTTATCTCTCTGTCCTGTCACCTCCAGTGCCATGATATCCTTCCTAAAGTGTGAGGCCCAGAACTGAACACAGTCTCTCGCTGAGGCCTAACCAGTGTTTTATAAAGGGTCATAAAAAATTCCAGACTTTTGTACTCTATGCCCTTATTTATAAAGCCAAGTATCCCTATGCTATTTTTAACAGCTTTTATCTACCTGTCCTGCCACCTTCAAAGATTTACTTATATTGCTTTCAGACAAAGATAGAGGAAGTCTTGTTTGTAACTGTTGTTTCTGTCTTTTCAGCTGTAATAGTTTGAATCAATATACGGTCCTCCTTATCTTTAACTAATGCCTTATCTTTAGTTGGTTTCTGGGGGAATTGCAATACTGGGAATCTATACTTGAATCTTGTCAGTTTTGTATCTTTCTGGACTCTGTTCTAGACCCCGGGTGGGTCTAGAACAGAGTCCAGGCTTGATCAGAATACTGGCTCCCATTGAACTGGAACCAGTCCCTCCAGGATGAGTCTGTTCCTTGTAAATGCTGCCGGTAATGTGGTCTAGGAGACTGGAAATAGCAAACTGTTTTTAGCCTGATAAATTAAGGCATTTCACTGAAAGAAGTAATTATAATTCTTTCCAGATGGAGATGATGGGAGTAACTTGAACAGAATACTTCCTCTGTTTCTTATTTCTTTATCTGTTAATACCAGTTTCAGTGCTGTGAGGTTTCAGGCTATGTCCTTATTTGGGGCCCAGTAGAGTTTTATTTTGTAGCTGAAACTGTCAGTGTGACCCACTTGGTGGCATTCTCATCTCTGGGTCAGAAAGTTGTGGTTTCAAGTTCCACACTGGGACTAGAGCTCGCAGTCCAGGTTGGCGCTCAGGTTGATGCTAAAAATCCTGTGATAATACTCAAAATGGGAAAGTAGTTCTTCTGGTTGTCCAGGCCAAAAATCATTGTAATACGAGTCATTCACCTCATGATTTGTAGGCCTTTTCTGGTGCACCAGAAACTTCTGTTTCTTTGTCTACAGAAATGGACTGCATCTGACAATAATTATCTATACAGCAAATTGAAGTGTTTCATTGTGATTAAAAATTCAATTCTTAAAATGTGTTTATTCCTTATTACTTTCCCCGATACTAACATCCCTCACCTTATATTCTGATTTGTTCTGAATACAATTATATTGCTTGCAGCATACAGCTCCTTAGAATTCAATTTAAATTGGTCATTGGCCTATTCTATGAAAGATTTCCAAAGGTATATTGAGGTATGAACTAAAGATCGAACTTCTCATTATTCAGGGTTGCAGAATCCTATTGATGCCATTTATCATCTTCAGCCACTAATGTTTATTGGCCTCTTCCCGCTGTTTGTATACATTGAAGGTAAACATTGTCATTGGTGGCAGTTAAGCATTATTAACACACTCTGTAAATCAAGTGCATCTGAATCACTAACCATTTCTGCTTTCAGTCATAGAATGGGGAGCATGTAAATAGGCCATTAGGGCCCATCAAGTCTGAGCTGATATTTTTCACATCATGAGCCACCAAATCTCATCTCCATCTTCTTTCCTTTCAATGTTCTTTATGAAGAGGATAAATGATTTGCTTTTAAAATAATTTACAGAATCTGCCTCATCTGCTTGTGGTGTGAAATTCCACATTGTAAAAACCTGTGGAAAGAAAATGTTTCTCGCCTTCCATTTAATTCCTTTCATTCTCTGAAAGAGATTATATAAATGCAGGTTGTAGAAACGGAGTGGAGTAACTGGTTTCATAGATTCAGATCGGTTAAATAAGATTGACGTTTTCTAATGAATATTTTTACGAAATATTTTTAGTTTTTGGCTCTCTTACTTGTCTTTGGGATCAGCTATTTGGGATGTCCTCCCGACGTGAAAGGCGTTCTATAAATGTAATTTTGTTGTTGTCTTCTCATTCTCATCTCTAAACTAAAGTCAACTGGGGAGCATGATATAGCCAGATTATAATCCCATTCTCCACTCCAGCACATGCTGAGAGCAAAAGGAGAAATGCAATCAATCTCTTGAGTTTTGAACTGCAGGTGTGCAGCATCTCCTAATCCTATTAACTCTGTGTTTCCTGAATTTAGGACTAGGCTTGGGTGTCTCAGAGAAGCTCTTCCGCTATCACGATATCTCTGCTCTGCAGCATATGGTGTGTGTGTTGGCTGGCGGGGGCTTTCTGGCATTTGGGCTGGGATTCTCTGAGTTTCTACTGGTTGCCAAAACCTCCAGCCTGACTCTGTCCATTGCAGGCATTTTTAAGGTGAGGGCTTTGTGAGTTTCCCCGCTGTACTGATCGGTATTGTTAGAGAAGATCTTTCTTGTACTCTTGAGGAGAGCAAGCTTGTGGCAGTGGTCCATAAAGAGCTTCTCGTTTCTCTTACAGGAAGTGTGCACTCTGGTGCTTGCCGGCTACCTGATGGGTGACCAGCTGAGCTTGCTGAACTGGCTGGGATTTGGAGTGTGTCTCTGCGGGATCTCACTACATGTTGCAATGAAAGCCATTTACTCAGAAGGTATTGTATGCCATTTGCAGGCTGCTCCTTATCTTTCTCTTTCCCTCTCCATCTGATGCGAATATGACAAATTTGTGTTACTCCCATCTATTTCTTTTAGATTGGATAATCCCTCAAAAAATAATAATAATTTGGTCACTCAATCCATGACTGTTTGTGGGACACTACTGTGCGCAATTGGCTGCCATGTTTCGCCCACAAAATATACAGTCCTGTGTGTCCTGTGAAGCGCTTTGAGAGGTCTCAAAGACGTGATAATGTGCTGTATCAAATGCAAGGATTATTATTGAAGGTGTTTAAACGATGAACAGGACAGTTAGTTTTATATGACTTCAGGATTTGTAGGACGTGTGAAGTGAGACAGGTAAAATCTTGTGTTGTAGCGTAAGTGACTCCAAAGTTATCTAGGTTGGTGTGAGAATGTCTTGTACATTGTTTATTATGGAATGGAGTGGAAAAGTTTAATGATTTTGGTTTTGATTCTTTGATCTAATCAGGGACAGTCTGATTAGATGAAAGAGGCATTTTTTTAGCACAATTTTATTAATTTTCTTTTGTCGCTTAAATGTTAAATGGAAACAGGTTTTCAAAAGCATTTAAAATATTTGCGATATAGCTAGCCAATATTTTGACGAATTAGCTATCTTTGACTAAACATAGCATGTCTGTCTATCTTTTGAGCATATTTGTTTGTTTGTATGTGTGTCTCTCTCTCACTCTCTGTCCCATCTCAGTGTCTCTGATCCTCTCTCTCACTATATCTCTCTTTATCCTTGTTCCGCTGTCTCAATAAGATAATTGATGTATATCTCAGATTCGGCTAAGGACATGAGGCTCCACGACTTGAACCAGAGTGAGTTTGACATGGAGTTGCTGCTGAAGAATGGAGAAGCAAATGAAGACAGTGAGAGAGAGGAGAGCAGCAGACAGCTGTGAGGTCCCTTCACACACTGTACATTTTAGGATCCCAGGATCCTGCTTCACACACTTACATTTGCCATGCAAAGACATGCCTGTGTTGTTAAGATTTAATCTTGTGTGTAATTTATTCCAGTCTGTGATTGGAACCCGTCTGATTGGGCCCGTTTGTACACGAAAGGTGGAAGTAGCCCTCTGAGCGACACTACAACCAATTAATAATTTAATGCTTCTAATTGAAAATATATGTGGCTAATACCCAATTCGTACTGCACTTTTTGCTAGGTTTTATAGAGGTATAAGTTGAACTCCACAATGGTAAATTGGAGCACAGCTTCCCAAACCACTTTGAGATGGTTTTGGTGAGACACCAATTTGCACTGCAGGAATTTAACTAATTCACACAAAAAGAGAGATGAATATTGGGAAATGGACAATCCAGCGAGGTGTTGAGGCAGATTGTATCGGCAAATTCAGGAGGCAGTGGGGTGCTTAGTTATTTCAGAGCGTGTTGTGCAGGAAGATTAATTACTTTTATTTGCTTTGGGACCATTCAGCTGGTGAGCAATGGCTTTTCCTGATCCTGTACATTCCTAGGTTCGTTCGTATGATGTGAATTGATTGGGCCTTCTGCTCAGAAATTATCTTGTAAAAGTTCTTCGTTAATAGGAATCAATCTAAAAATATTATTAGAGCCAATATATGGGTGCTTGCTGATTCTGAGAACTGGTGTAATTGGTGAATCTGAATCACTTGTCAGGAAATGTGAATCACTTGTCTACTGAAAGGGAAGCCTCCTGTTCTGTAAAATTGGGAAGCAGCACAATCAAAAAGCCATTTAATTAATTTAAACTGGTCATTTCAGTCTTTGATAGTTAAGAGGTAAAACGAATAATAGCAACAACAAAATTACATTTGTAAAGCGCCTTTCACATCAGGAGGACATCCCAGGGAGGGCAGCTGAAGGTGCAGTCGAAAAGGAGGGTTTTGAGTCGTGCCTTGAAGCTGGCAAGGGTGGGAACAAGGCGAAGGGATTGTGGGATGGAGTTCCAAAGAGTGGGGGCAGAGAGGCTCAAAGCCCGGCCGCCGATGGTAGGATGGGTCGGGCGGGAGACCTGGAACAGGCCTGCTTGGAACAGCCTGCTGAACAGATGGAGCGGACAGGTTGATAGGGGGTCAGCAGGTCAGAGAGGTAGGAGAGTGCAAGGCCACGGAGGGTCTTGAAAGTGAGGATGAAGATTTTGAATTCTATCCTCTTGAGGGATGGGGAGCCAATGAAGCTGGGCGAGGGTGGGGGTGATGGGGTCACGGAGCCTGGTGCAGGAGAAGACAATAACAACAGGTTTTTTTTTTTGCACTTGACCCCTTCAGCAGATAATCATGTAGCAACCTATTATCAATGGGACACACTCATTCTTGACAAGAGGTAATTGAATTTGTGTGCAAGTTGCTGTCAGTTTCGCACAAAAAATGCATTATTTGAATTCGAAATGGGCCCAAAGCCTAGATTTGTAGAGTTCTGTAGCTCAGTGGTTAGAGCCCTCGCCTCGCAAGTGAGAGACTTGGGTTCGATTCCCGACAGGGCAAAACTTTGGGCAAGTTTTCTTACTCCACGCACCTCTGTTTATCTAACAGTAAGGAGGAACCCGATTGTTAAGTCAATTGGTGAATCGCTTTTCAAGGGGTAATAATTCCTTAAAAAATAATAATAGATTGGTCACTCAATTCACGACTGTTTGTGGGACAATGATAATCCTTGCATTTGATATAGCACTTTTCACATCTTCGAGACATCTCAAGGCGCTTCACAGAACATACTGTAAAGTGAATTGACTATATTTGTGGTTGAAACGCAGCAGCCAATTTGCACACAGTAGAGTCCCACAAACAGTCGTGGATTGAAGTGACCAATTCATTATTGTTTTTTTTTCTTGAGGGATTATTATCAGGCGTGTGGAGTAAGGAAACTCGCCTAAGGTTTCGCCCTGCCGAGAATCAAACTCAGGTCTCTCGCTTGCGAGGCAAGTGCTCTAACCAGTGAGATATAGGACTCCACAGTCCTATACAGAATATATGCAGTCAATTCATTTTACAATATATTCTGTGAAGCGCTTTGAAACATCTCGAAGACGTGATAAGGTGCTACACCAAATGCAAGGATTATTATTGCATTTATCAAAACAATCAAATGATTTTCACGTACACATTGCTGTGAGGATCTGAAGCCTAAGACTTCATTTTTGCTGTGAAATAATTATCTTTGGCTTTTCTTTTAGTTATGCAGTAAAACGCACATAATTCATATAAGTTGGAACCATAACATTTAATACTGTATGATTTATGCAGAGTCTGAGTTGGAGGCAAACTGTGTAAGTTGTGTAAGCTCCCCCCTTACACAATCCCTCCGTACCTCAAACGTGCAGAGATCTTCAGTTGCCTCAACTGGTGGGCTGATCTTCACATCTAATTCTCCACAGTCAGAGATTCAAACCCTTCCGGCCTGAAGGGCCTCGTGCTGACAATGCTTTATCCACAACGCCGTTTGCAGGAGTTGCTTGTGGATAATTTTTTAAATTCATGTCTGTCTTGTTTCTGGGCAAATAATATGACACTACCTGCAGCAGCAGAGGGCCACCAAGTCAGGAAGCAAAGCGACCATTGGAAGACTTGGACTTTGAACCGACGTTTTAATCTGATGTAATTATGTGTGTTCAATATGGAATATCATTGATCTGTGAATTCTGAGTAACTGCTGTTGACTTAAGATCAAATAAATGGGAATTGTTGATCTTGTACATTTTAGTGACTTCTGCATACAATGACAAACCATGCCATTGATGAGAGTAAATATCTCTCGGGATATGCGGCTGTTCTTGCTTTATTTGTTACGCAAATGTACTTCTACCTTCTCATAGCGCTTTACAGTAATCAAGTGTAATAACATAATATTTGCATTTGATATAGTGCCTTATCACATCTTTGAGGCATCTCAAACTGCTTCACAGAATATATTGTAAAGTGAATTGACTATAATTTGTGAGTGAAACGTGTCAGCCAATTGCACGCAGCAGGATTCCACAAACAGTCGTGGATTGAGTAACAAACTTTTTGTTTTTTGTTTGAGTAACAAACAAAAACTGTCGATAAGAGCATCTGAGATTCAGACAATTGCTCACCTCTTTCACCTTAATGGTCGGATTTACAAAACTTAAGTGATCAACACTTGGAAGAGGATGTTCTTTTGCCTGGAAAGCTACAAAGAGAACTCCACATCATCAACAAGCAAACTCTATAACTACTTCTACAGGATACAGTCATTTATCAGCGATCACAGCAATAGGTCAGCCCTGACAGTAGGCTTTATTCTGTAAGAACAACTCTGGAACAGTCTTCCTCTGGCTCTCTGCTTTGACCCCCCCACCCCAATCTTCAGGTCGCTCCCTGATTTCAAAACCTTGGGACGTCCATCCAACATGAAAGGCGCTTTACAAATGTAAGTTTGTTGTTGAAGAACTTTCTCTTCAACTGTGCCTACAGTCACCACCCTTTCCCTCTGGCTCAGGGTTATGCTGTCAAGCAGTCTGGGACACTACCCTGTGTGAGGGTCGTTATGTAAATGCAAGCTGTTGCTGTTACTGTACTTGGGGATCTGATGTTAAGCTTGCTTCATGATTTATGACAAAGTCATAAATAGCTGTCAATGCTCCTGACACCATCAATACTGCTCCCCAACACCATCCAATGTGCCTGAGGCTTCTCTCAATATCCTTTTTTTTTTCATTTTCAAAATCAAATCGGTTTCCACCACCCTTTCAGGCGATGCATTCCAGATCCGAACAACTTGTTGTGTCAAAAAAAAATTCCTCACCTCCCCTCTGTTTCTTTTAACAACTATTATAAATCAGTGTCCTCGGGTTACCAGCCCACCCGCCAGTGGAAATAGTTTCTCTTTGTTCACCCTATCCAATCCCGTCATAATTTTGAAAATACTATAATCCCGGCTTCTCTCGCCTCTCCTGATAGCTGAAGTCCCTCATTCCTGGTACCATCCTGGTCAATCTCCTTTTCACCCTCCCCAAGGCCTTGACATCCTTCCTAAAGTGTGGGGCCCAGAACTGAACACAATCTCTCGCTGAGGCCTAACCAGTTATAAAGGTTCATCATAACTTCCTGACTTTTGTATTCTGTGCCCCTATTTATAAAGCCTAGTATCTCGAATGCTTCTTTTTAACAGCTTTATCTCCCTGTCCTGCCACCTTCAAAGATTTACTTATATGAACCCTCAGGTCTCTCTGTTCCTTCACCCCCTTTAAGATTGTACCATCAGCTTATATTGCCTCCATATTAAACTTCATCTGCCACATGTCTGCCCATTTTACCAGTCTGTCTATGGCCATTTGCAGTCTGCTACTATCCTCCTCACTGTTTACTACTTTTCCCAGCTTGGCATCATCTGCAAACTTGGAAATTGTACTCTCTCTACCCAAGTCCAGGTCATTTATGTAGATCAAAAAGAGCAGTGGTCCCAATACCAACCCCTGGGGATCACTACAGCACACTTCCCTCCATTCAGAAAAACAACTGTTCACCACCATCTCTGCTTTCTGTCTCCCAGCCAGTACTGTATCCACGCTGCCACTGTCCCTTTAGTACCTTTTTGCCCACATAAAAAGTTGGTTACATTGACTGAGTGAGCAGTGTTACAGCCTTACCTGAACATGCCACAGTCCGGCTCAGATGCTTTAAATGCAGAGATTTCTTGGGCAATTTATGGTTGTGGTTTTGAAAGCAAATCGTATGCTTTATAAGCAGGAAGTTCAATGGAATTTTAGAGGAAGTGAAATTAAATATATGATAAAGTAACAATAACCATAAAAGGAGTGAATGTCCTTTAAGGGTTGTGGGTTGAAATTTCACTTGTCAGCAGCATACATCGTGCTGGACTTAAGAAGAAGCAGACAGGTTCTTTATCTCATACTGACTTGGAGTCCTGTAGTGCATTGGTTAGAGCATTCACCTTGCAAGTGAGAGGACCAGGGTTCGATTCCCGGGCAGAGCAACACTTGGGGATGAATCTGTATGAAGCATTCATAAAATGTGACAGCATTGAGACCATTTCCATGTATACCATATTACCTAATGTACATTGCTTAGTGGGGTATGCTGCTGGAGGTGTCCTCTGCACCTAATCAGTACAAACTAAGTCCACTCGGCCTGAGGACTCCTTAACTCCAGATAAACTGGTAACAGAGAGCACAAAGTGACAGGAATCCAGTGCTGACCACACCATTATCACGTGAGAGTTTTGCATCCGCTTTAAATGTTGACTTTAAGTTTAGTTCTGCAACGGAATCACTTTCAGGTTCTTCACTGGAGGTATTTGAACAACCCAGTGGAGGAAGTGAGAAATGGGAGGAACTCCAATGGAGTGCTGGAGGAGTGCTATATTATCAGAGTTGCTGTCCTTTGGATGAGATGTTAAACTGAGGCGTTAAACAAATGTAATCTTGTTGTTGTTTTCGAATGAGTCGGAGAGGTGTGTGGAGTAAGGAAATTTACCTTTCGCCACGCTCAGGAATCAAGCCCGGGTCCTCGCATTTGCGTGACTCACCACTACAATACTCCTCTCTCCAGTGTGGTGAAGAGCAACTAGATAAGATAGGAATCTTCAGCCTAGAAATATATGTCTCAGTGGGGATCTTGAAGAGGTTTACAAGATGTTAAACAGAATTGAAAAGGTATATTTTGATCATTACATTCAGATGCATCAATTTGTTGTTTGGTCATGTGTGTGCCAGACCCATGTGGAAACCCATTACCATGTTTGAGTGTTAAAACCAGACTGCGGAGAGTTCCAGATATGTATGTTTCTTGTTTGTGCGCACACAATCCTGGTAAAGCCGGGAGCCTTTGGGAAACAGAACTGTGTTTTTCTCTAAGCTCTGCCCTGGAAGCTGTGTGAAAATCACCTCGCCCAATGCTGTGTTTTTGTAAACAATTTACACAAACTCCTGTACCAATGTTCTTTATTTTCTCATCATGGTGAGTTACAGCAAATCTTCAAACAGAACAGCCAGGTCTCAGGATTCCCCATTCACACCGCAGGCTCAGCGCAAGCTTACTGAAAAAGTGTATATAACTGAAGCTCATTATCTCTTTATTCTCTTGTCTACTCTCTCGCTTTTTCCCCATAGAAACCACACAAAGATTAAGGTGCTGCAGGTGAGCTGGCAACACTTGTCCATGTTACAAGATCACACAAGAGGAGGTTTGGATCATTGTGTAATAAAAACTGAAAAAAGATTCAATCACAATCTTGCCTATGTTTTGCCAGCTTTCAGTGTAGAAGCAAATATTTCCTTCATCAGTGCCTTGGTTGTGGGCGCTATAATCAGGGCAGCACTGCCCAGCTCCAGCGAGTAAACCTTCTTCAACATCAGCTGGTTTATAAGGTGTATTTGATATCAGTTGCAATCATCAGAAATTTCTGTAAAAATTAAGAAGATTTATAGCACCGTATCACGTTCAACCATCTCAAAGCGCTTTACAGTAATCACATATAATAATATAACATTCGATATAGTGCCTTATCACGTCTTTGAGGCATCTCAAAACAGAATATATTGTAAAGTGAATTGACTGTATATTTTGTGAGCGAAACACATCAGTCAATTGCACACAGCAGTGTCGTGGATTGAGTGAATCCTCAAATCATTATTTTTTTTAAAAAAAGGAGGTATTATTACCTCGGAAAGCGATATACAACATGATACATGATTGCATTTATAGAGCGCCTTTCACGTCGGGAGGACGTCCCAACCAATCAACTAACAACCGGGTTTCCACTCCTAAGTGAACAGAGGCATGTGGAGTACGGAATCCTGCCGAAGGTTTGCCCCAGCGGTGATTAACCACTCCCTAGTGACTGGTGTTAAGTTGAACCCTAAGGCAGCCACGCCAAATGGGCTTTGTGGCTGACAGATCCTTCCTTTGGCCCTGGGCTGTAGGCAAAAACTCTCAGCGCAAGTGCAACTCCCAACTCTCAACCACCCCAGCCTTGTCCAGTGGGAGGATGACAGAGAATAACAAACACAAACCGTGCATAAGAGCATCTGAGATCAGACAATTACTCACCTCTTTCACCTTAATGGTCGGATTTACAAAACTTAATTGATCCACACTTGGAAGAGGATATCCTTTCGCCAGGAAAGCTACAAAGAGAACTCCGCATCATCAACAAGCAAACTCTACAGCTACCTCTACAGGATACATAAATTTATCAGTGATCATAGCAATAGGTCAGCCCTGACAGTAGCTCTATTTTGTAAGAACAACTCTGGATCAGTCTTCCTCTGGCTCTCTGCTTTGACCCCCGCTTCCCCATCTGCAGGTCGCTTCCGAAGACCTTCTTCTTCAACCGTGCCTACGATCACCTCCCCTCCCCCCCACCCCACCCCCCCCTCCAGCCCCTCCGCTCAGTGTTGTGCTCTATTACCGTCAAGCAGTCTGGGACTCTACCCTATGTGAGGGGTACTATGTAAATGCAAGTTATTGCTGTTGTTACCGTACTTTGGGAGGAATGCACTGTTTGAAGGGGAATAGCTGTCAATGCTCCTGACACCATTAATGCTGCTCCCCCAACACCATCCAACACGCCTGAGGCTTCTCTCAATATCCTTTTTTGGTTACTTACCATTGATTTTCGGTAACACTATTATTTTGGTTACAACGTTTAACATTCCCTGCAGGGTTGATGTCTAAAAGAATAGAGAATATGTTTATAGTAAACAGTGTCTGGACTGTGATTCTATGATTCTAGGAAATGCTATTCAGTCCTCGCTCTCACCTCAAAGGGGCCGATGTCAGAATGTTCCAGTGACAAGCCCAATCTGCAGAACGGAGAGTAAAATATGAGGACAACCTTGTGCAACAAGAGTAACGAAGCAACAGCAGAGACTGAGGGTGGTGTTACCTGTACTGAGGGCTGTGTGCATCACCCAACAACAACAATAAAACTACATTTGTATAGCGCCATTTACATCGGGAGGACATCCCAAGGCGCTGGACAGACAGAGTTACGGATCCGAGCTGGGGGTCTGGGTCGGGGAGGGTGGAGGGCGGCGGAGGACGCAGACAGATCGAAAGCACGGTCGAAGAGAAGGGTCTTGAGGTGGGTCTTGAAGGTGGCATGGGAGGGGGTGAGATGGAGGGATGAATTCCAGATGGTGGGGGCAGAGTGGCGGAAAGCCCGCCTGCCAAAGGTGGGACGAGCAACGCGGGGGTTGTGAAGCAGGCCGGAGCCCGCTGAGCGGAAGGAGCCAACAGGGTGGTAGGGGATTAGGAGGTCAGAGAGGTAGTGGGGAGCAAGACCGTAGAGGGCTTTGAAAGTGAGGACCAGGATCTTGAACTGTATCCTCTGTGTGATGGGAAACCAATGGAGTTGGGCGAGGATGGGGGTGATAGGGTCGCGGAGCCTAGATGGAAAAATGACATTCTGTCCATCTGCGACCAGGGCTCCCACTGCCTCCTCGTCCTCCTTGACCTCTCTGCTGCTTTCGACACCGTCAACCAATCTATCCTCATCCTCCGCCTCTCCTCTCACCTCAACCTCCACGGCGCTGTCCTTGATCGGTTCAGATTGTCCCTCTCACACCGCCTGCACTTAATCTCCTCCAACGGCTTCTCCTCTAGCCCCCGGATCGTCTCGTGCGGCATTCCTCAGGGCTCTGTCCTTGGTCCCCACCTTTTCAACATCTATATGCTCCCCCTTGGTAACATCATCCACAGATATGGGATCAACTTCCACATATTTGCAGATCACACCCAACTGTATCTCTCTGCCTCCATCCTTGACTCCAGGATCACTGCTGTGCTGACAGATTGACAGATCATCCAGAACTCTGCAGCCCGTGTCCTCTCACGCATCCTATCGCCCCCATCCTTGCCCAACTCCACTGGCTTCCCATCACACAGAGGATACAGTTCAAGATCCTGGTCCTCACCTGGTCCTCACCTTCCATGGTCTTGCTTCCCCCTACCTCTCCGACCTCCTAACCCCCTAACATCCTGTTCGCTCCCTCCGCTCAGCGGGCTCTGGCCTGCTTCACATCCCCCAACTTGCTCGCCCCACTATCGGTAGGCGGGCCTTCTGCCACTCTGCCCCAACCCTCTAGAACTCTATCCCGCAGTCCCTCCACCTCACCCTCGCCACCCACCACAAGACCCTCTTCTTCGACCGTGCTTTTGATCTCCCTGCAATCTCCCCTCCCCCACCCCAATGCTCAACTCGGGTTTGTAACACTATCTGTCCAGCGCCTTGGGATGTCCTCCCTATGTGAAAGGCGCTATATATATGTAATTTTGCTGTTGTTGTTGTAGTATTGCGGGAGAGGACACGGGCTGCAGAGTTCTGGATTATCTGCAGCCTGTGGAGGGAGGAGTTGGGGAGGCCGACAAGCAGGGGCCAGTGAGATACTCAGTCACAAGGACCAGGGCAGCTCTGATTGCTAAATACGGTCGCCCAAAACAGTATGTGTATAACGCCTTTCACTTCGGGAGGACGTCCCAAGGCGCTGCACAGTCAAGGATATGCACTGAGCTGGTGGTTCGGATTAGCAGGGGTGGAGAGCAGGAATCGGGGTGGGGCAGAGTAGGAGTGTGATCAAAGGCATGGTCGAAGAGGAGGTTCTTGAGATGGGACTTGAAGGAAGGAAGGGAGAGGTTGAGGGAAATTAATTGTAGGATGGAGTTCCAAAAGGGTGAAAACAGCGCCTTGGGACGTCCTCCTGACGTGAAAGGCGCTTTATAAATGGAATCTTGTTGTTGTTGAAAAAACAAGCATATATTTATCCACTGAAGCCGTTAATGAATCTAATTGCCTCTGTGTCAATACTATTAAGTGGCACTGGTGGGGGCGGGGGGGCATGGATATAGTAGAACAATAATAAAGTGTGGAGTTTACCTGTTAATTACCAGTGATCCTGTCAATTTATCCCCAGACAAAGATGGCGTGGCAGACACGCTGACATCCTGCAGAAAAGTGAAAACATCTCCTAATGTTTCATGGTCAGTGTTGCTGTGGAGTGTGTGACTGGACACTGTTACAGTGTGCTGTGGAGTGTGAGATCTGTCAGTTACTTACAAGATTCAGGACAAACAGAGGAGCCAATGAGGAGTTTGGTAGGATTGCAAATGTATCAGCAGCTCCGGTCATTGCAATGGTGATGTTGTCTGAGGTCATCGTCAGAGCAGGTTGTTTGAGGCTGTGGATCTTCATGAGCATCAGCATCTCAGGATAGAGTTTCTTCAACTGGGGCAGGGATTCACAGCATTAAAATCAGCTCCTTCTGCGCTCACAGATTGTTAGTGTCGGGTAGAAGAGTATGGAAGAAGAACTTACCTGAGGTATAAAGCCACCAAAAGTTGATGTGTTTAATCTGATGGGAGATGATTTAGGAATCTGGAGGGAACAAAACAATAATAAAGAAATGTGGTACCATGTTCAGTGCAATGCAATGCCCGAACATTTACAAAACAAGACTATTAATTGAGCAGTGCTGTGTACGGGCTGGGGAGGGGGGGGTGAAGAAATGTCCATCTGCTTCTGTGGTCACAGAATTATTTGTCCTTTCCGTCTCTGTCCAGAAAACTCACCCCGTGAGAATACACAGTGTAACATGACCCACAACATGGCAGACCAAGGCCCTGAGACTGATCAAACATGAGATCATTGAGCAGGAACCCAATGCCCTGGCTACAAACTCAGACAAACTGTTGTAGCTCCACCTAAATGAGTCTGTACGTACCATACTGTCAGTGATGTTTATCTGCAAGGCTCCAGCTCTGTGATACACAAACGCAGCTGAATTGAAAAAGAATTCGGACACAGCCAGGTACATCATGTGGTTTGTTTGTTCGGGGAAGCTGAGTGGGCCTGCGGTGAAGGGAGGCTCCTGATGCCGTCCAATGTTATAGAATTCACCCTGGGGAGACCGATTGAAAACTTCAGCCCTCATAACCATACAGCAAATCTCACACAAGTCGTATCAGTTGGGACTTTACATTTAATATGACTAATGCAAAGTATGAGTTGTGTCAAACTTGCAAAGAATATAAACTCTTGAACTAGATTTGGGCAGATGTATGATTTATACAGATCAGACTCTGCGAGTTTTACTGTGTTAACAAAAATACATAATAATAACACACAAATAATACACAACTCTGTGAAGCACTTTGGGACATCCTCCCAATGTGAAAGGAGTTATATCAAAAACAAGGAATATTATCATTACTAAAATAAAAGTCCTTCAAGCTGTGAGTGCAATTAGACACGGCAGCAAATAAGCAAATGGAATTCTAGATTTCACATGTGGGTTACATGTTGAGGTGAGGAGGTAACGTTCACTTTGCACAAGGCATCGATTAGGCCACAGTTGGTCTATTGCAATCAGTTTTGGGATCTCATTTACAGAAAGGGAGGGTTCTATTTGGCAGCCTCCTCACCCACACAGAATCACATCTGGAATCAGTCAATACCTTAAAGTCCAGGTCCATGAAGGTTTCTGTGATTACAGGAGGATTAACCAGGAAGTAATCAATCTCAGCAATTTTATCCACATTGGCAGTGACTGAAAATATAGAGGGAAAAGGGTCATGTTCATCGTGGAGTCCCATAGCGTAGTGGTTAGCATGCTCGCCGCGCGAGAGGTGTTCAATTCCTGGGCGGGTTAAAGCCTCTGGCAAGTTTCCTTATTCCACACGCCTCTGTTTACCTAGCAGTAAGCAGTCGATTGTCGGATTGCTTTCCGGGGATAATAATCGCTACCCTTCCCCCAAAACATCACAATTTGGTTACACACACCTTGACCGTTTCTGGGACACTGATGTGCGTAACTGGCTGCAGTCTTTCGCTCACAAAATACACAGCCAATCCACCCTACACAGTCCACAATATACCCTGTTTGAGATGTCTCAATGACATAAGGCTCCATATCAAATGTAAGGATTATTAATCTTCAATTTGAAAATGTTTTAACCTACCTTTCAGTCTTTGCAGTTTCAGCTCAAGGCTATTGATTGCCTCTGACACTTTTGGACAAATCTGTGGCAAAAACATTGATGAAAACCAATCAAGCCAGCAGCAGTACCTTGGGTTTAGAGTGTGTGAATTCCACTAATGTGGGCTCAGACTTGCTAATAAATGTTACAGGAGAGTTAGTGCCAGTGAATGTGAGCAGACTTACCTCCCGAACAAGGGCAGAATGAATGGGTTTCTCCAGGGAACTGCGGAACAGGTTGTAGAGCCAGCTGCAAACAATAAATAACAATTCAATTTGGTAAAATGTAGTCAAAAATCACAAGACGAAATCTTGCATGAGGGTCTTAGAAATCAATGAAGTCAAAATCTCTCCTAAATGTATGGCCCAAATCAACTGCTCCCACAGGTAGTGATTGTGCTGGACCTAAATCCAATACACAACAACAACTTGCATTAATATAGCGCCCTTCAGAGTCTCTGAGCTCTTAACACAGGCGGATCCTGATTCCAAACTGTGGGGAGGAAGGAGGTGACTGTGAGCTTCTGTTTATTTCATGAGTTTTATTGCTTTTTTTTAAAATACTTTGAATTTTAGGATGGAGGACTTGGGACGCCTTGGCAAATCTCCCAGGTCTAATGCACCACTCAACTACATAATAGTTTAATGAAACTATGTTAAAAATGAAAGAAAAATCACCCTAAACACCCTTAAATTCACTTTCTTCTCCACGGTTTTGCAGTTGTTTGACCTCTCTCGCATCTCTTCATTAATTCTCTCCTTTACCTCTCGTCGTGCAAGTCAAAACCCGAACAGGAAGGATGGTCCCAACTGGATAAGCAGTGGGAAAGCTCGCCAGACAGCACTCTTAATAGCAAGTTATGCGGTTTTAGCTGGTTAGACTCCAGCAGTTACCCCAACGCACACTCTGGGGTCCCCAAGCTTTGGCTCTTGCCGACCTGTGCCTGGTACTTTCTGGAATTAGGTAAGCAGGGTGCATGCCTCCAGCGAGAGAATGTGCATTCTATTCTAATAAACATCTCTGGGATTTCCATGTGCAGGTGGGATGCATGGAATTCTCAGCTTGGTTTGGATACCCATAAGAATGGTGATGGGTTTCCCGTCTGACCAAAAAAATCTCTCAGCAGGCACTGGAGAAGGTGCAAAGGAGATTGACCAGCATGGTACCAGGAATGAGGGACTTCAGTTATCAGGAGAGGCGAGAGAAACCGGGATTATTCTCCTTGGAACAGAGAAGGTTAAGAGGAGACTTAATGGAAGTTTTCAAAATTATGAAGGATTTGATAGGGTAAACAAGGAGAAACTATTTCCACTGGCGGGTCGGTCAGTAACCCGAGGGCACAGATTTAAAACAGTTGTTAAAAAGAAACAAAGGGGAGGTGAGGGGAACATTTTTTAAATAGCGAGTTGTTCGGATCTGGAATGCATTGCCTAAAAGGGTGATGGAAGCCAATTCGATAACAACGTTTAAGAGAGAAGTAGATAGATATTTGGGAAGGACAAGTTTGCAGGGCCATAGGGAGAGAGCGGGGGAGTGGGATTGATTTGGATAGCTCTTTTTAAAGAGCCGGCGAGAAACGATGGGCCGAATGGCCTCCTTGTGTGCTGTATAATTCTATGATTCTATGATGATTGCTGAATGGGCTAAATGCTGGCAGTGCTGCTCTCCTGACAGACTGAGCTCAGGGATTCTCTATTATGTGAAATTATTGCTCTCTGCGGATGTGTTTGGTTACCTCGCGCCTCCATGCAATTTGAGTCTCAGGCTTCCAACATTGGAGCTGCAGCCCATGCTCTTTACTGCAGGACGTCCGGTCTGATCAGTGCTCATCCCGATCAGCGCTGAAACCGAGAAGCCGTTCACTGATACATCAAAGGAGCCGCTGTCTCTTCTGTGGAAAAATCACAATGACACACCAGTCACAGGTGGAGAGGTACACGTAGAGCATTTGGTACAGCATCTTATCACGTTGTTGAAATGTCTCAAACCACTTGACAGAATATACTGTAAAGTGTATTGAGTGTGTATTTTGTGGGTGAAACGCAGCAGCCAATTGTGCTCAGCAAGTAAACAGGTGTGTGGAGTAAGGGAACTTGCCTAAGGTTTCACCCCACCCGGGAATTGAACCCAGGTCCTCTCCATTGCGAGGCGAGTGCATTAACCACGATGCTACGAGACTCCAATGATTCTAGATCAGACCAGACTGATACATTCCAGCGCTAACTGTGGGCACCACCATGTGAGAATTCTTGTCTTAAGAGAGAAGTAGATAGATATGTGGGCAGGAAATTAAAAAAAAGTTAACCAGAAAATTGACCCACCACTCTCTACTTACCCAAGTGAATATTTCACCCTCCAGTTGCCGTGAATGGCTATGTTAGTATTGTCGAGGGAGAGTTTCATGCCAGTTCCGGGGGAGAACGCCACTGTAGACTGGGCTATGCTAAAAGCCTGAATACGAATCCTGCGTGGAAACAGACAGCGTCAAGTTACACTGTGAACCAGGCCGCCTGATTCCAGATCAACCTGAGTGGATAATTTGTCTCCAGCTGACGAACAATCATGCCATAATAATAATCTTTGCATTTGATATAACCCCTTATCAATTCTTTGAGACGTCTCAAAGCACTTCACAGAATATACTGTAAAGTTAATTGACTGCAACTCTTTGTGTGGGCGAAAAACGGCAGCCAATTGCGTACAGCAATGTCCCACAAACAGTCATGGATTGAGTGACCAAATTATTATTATTTTTTTTAAAAGGGATTATTACCCCTGGAAAACCGATCTGCCTATCACTAACAAACAGGTTCCTAGTTACTGCTGCGAGGTAAACAGAGGCATCTGGAGTAAGGAAACTTGCCGAAGGTTTCATCCCACCCATGAATCACTTGTGAGCCGAGCGGTCTAACCAATATATAAAGGACTCTACCATCTGCCATTTGATGGTAAATCCTGCAGTTCAACAACAAGAATTAGCACTTATCCATCTTAATAATAATAATAATATAATAATCCTTGCATTTGATATAGCGCTTTTCACGTCGGGAGGACGTCCCAAAGCGCTTCACAGAACACACTGTAAAGTGAATTGACTGTATATTTGTGGGCGAACGCGGCAGCCAATTGCGCACAGCAATGTCCCACAAACAGTCGTAGATTGAAAATGACCAATTTATTATTGTTTTTGGTTTTAGAGGGATTATTATTAGGCTCTGTGTGGAGTAAGGAAACTTGCCCAAGGTTTCGCCCTCTGCCTGGAATTGAACTCAGGTCTCTCGCTTGCAAAGCGAGTGCTCTAACCACTGAGCTACAGGACTCCACAGGACTCCACATCTTTCACACAGTCTGAGCGGACTGGGAAAGAGATCGGTCTGTAAGGTTGCAGGAGATCGCAAATGCAGAAAGCTCCAAACGAAGATAGTAATAATAATAATAATAATCGTTGCATTTGATACAGCAGAGAAATGTCCCACAAAACAGCCATGAAATGATCAATTTTATCTGGAGGACTGGCAGCCAGGATACTGAGAGAAACTAATTCTTTACCAAGTTACTTGGATTTTTTTTTCCTATTTAAACTTAGATTTAGGGCTTCCGTTCCACACTTTTAAGTTTCTTCTTATTTCTAGGGGATCTACACATTCTCCCCTAATCCTTGCCCTGTCTTGCCCCCTCTTCAGGTCGGGCTTGAAGACCTTCCTGTTCGGTCGTCCTTACAGTCACTTCCTCCCGGCTTGGCGTCACTCACCCTGATATTTGATAGTGCACTTTGCCGATCACAGACACGTGTGTGCTGCCGCTTACATCTGGGATGTTAATCTTCTTCAGTTCCTCTTGCAACACCTGCATTCCAACTTGACGCCCTAGAATGAAAGCCACACATTGAAACATTGCAGCGCTCCCAGGGCACCAAAGCATCCATTGAGCAACAGCGCCTTGAGACATCCGCGTTAACTAAGGATTGTATTGTATTGCACCAAACAGAAGGTCTCAGGTTGTGCTGGGTTCATGATCACTGACTCTCAGTTAGGGAAAGGAAAATAAGCAAGGGATCTCACTCCTCATCCCTAACCAGAGATTGTCTACTGGAAGTGACTCTTGCTGTGTCCTGTTCTGTCTTCCTCCACCTCTGCAACATCACCTGGCTCCATCACTGCCTCTCCCCTCAGTCCGCTGAGACCCTCATATTCATAATAATAATCTGTCTGGTTGAAGGTCAGATTGTTTGAAGGTTTCTTTGCGTCTTTGCAGCTCGCAATCAATGTCTGGAATAGCGCACCACCCACCTGGGAATAATTCATCCACGCATTCATCACCATGCTCGACTATGCTAATTCCCTGCTTGTCGGACTTACAACTCTTCCGTTCAAAAACTGCAGATTATTTAGAATACTGCAGCTTATGTCCTCTCCCACACCAAGCTCCATGACCCTATCACCCCCATCCTCACAAGAGGATGAGGGGGGAAAACTGGAGAGGACGCACCACATAAAAGATCCCACCTTCCTGTTAGACGTAAACACACTTACCATAGTCCAAGGCCTGTTGTGTGACTCTGGCTTTCAGTGCTGGGTTTGTGCAAATGGTGTGGGATGAGAGGAACAGAAGAACGACTGTCACTATCCAGACCATCTTTATCAGGCTGTCCACCTCGCTGTGTGTGTGGGGGGGTTCTGCTATTGGAGAGAGAGGTTAGTCAATGCCAAGACACTGGTTAGACCAATAAACGTTAGTTCCAGTTTTAGTCATGATCAGTTGAGGTCACACAACACCTCACTTGAAGGAAATGTGCTGCTCCCTCAGTACTGCACTGAAATAAACAATGAGATCAAATTGAGAGCCTGCAGTGCTAGAAGTACTACCAATTGAGTGGCACGCAGAAACCTGAACCATTAGTAGCGCTCCCAGCTTAGGTGCCCAGCCAATAGACAGGAACAAGTGATCTCTCCAATGTATAAAATCCTACTCTTGCGTCTGACCATGATGGAATAATAATAATAATAGTAATAATCCTTGCACTTGATATAGCGCCTTATCACGTCATTGAGATGTCTCAAAACACTTCACAGGATAGACTGTAAAGTGAATTCACTGGTGTATTTTGTGGGCGAAACTCTATAGTCCATGGAGTCTGCAGAGGTAAAGACAAATTAACGTAAAGGGGAGGTCAGGAATAATGACTTTACACAAAACATGATTGGAATGTAATTTTCTTGGCCACAAATCGCTATTGTCATAGAGCTCACCAATCCATTCAAAAGGGAATTAGTTACCTGCTTGATGAGGAGGAATACTTTTGGAGGAGGTGGGGAGGCAAGCAGGAAAATAGTTTAGGGTCTCAGTTGGGGAAGTTCACTGTAGACCTGATGGGTGAATCTCTGTGCTGCAATGCTCCAAGGTACTAGGGAGCTCAGGGCATTTTAGGAAGTATTAAAAGTTATATTTTATCATGTCACTCATTTCATTACTAGAGATACTTACAACAGACTTATAACAGAAGTGATACTTTACCCAAAATGAGGAACAGTGAAAGATTGAGAGCTTGGCTTCAACTGACCCGAGGGACTGTTGGCCAAGATGTAAAATAATAATAATAATTCTTTCATTTGATAGAGCACCTTATAACATCAGAAGGACATTTCAAAGTACTGTGAAATGGAGTGACTGTATTTACAGGCAAACATGGCAACCAGTTACTCACAGCAATGTCCCACAAACATCTATTTTATTTGGGGGATTTGTCAGCCGGGACACCGGGAGAGAGAAACTCCCTTCTCTTTTTCAATAGTGTCATGGGATCTTTAACATCTACCTGAACAGGCAGACGGGACCCAAGTTTAACGTATCAACCCAAGAACAGCGCCTCCGACAATGCAACACACCCCCAGCACCAAATTGGAGTGTCAGCTTAGACTACTACTCTGAACAGACCAGTGAGCGCTGAATAAAAAGGCTATATAAAAAGTCTGATATTTTTAACCTCATGAAAAAAAAAGCTGCGATTGAAATCAGACATCAAGAGACAGAACGTTAGAGGTCAGAAATCTGCTCTGTGTTTTAGAATAATTTAATCCTTCCAATTGATATGACACCTTATTCCGCCTTTAGATGTCTGAAAGAGCTTCACAGAATATAACGTAAAGTTACTCGGGCGAAACCTGGCAACCAATTGTGCCCAGCAGTGTCCCACAAACAGTCGTGGATTAAGTGACCACATTTTTTTATAAGGGATTATTACCCCTTTATAACAATACAGTAAAACTCACCAAAGTCTGATCTGTGTAAATCATATAATCGCTTAAATTGTACATTGCCCCATTCAAGCTGAGCTGATTCTATGGGCAGATTGCGAGGCCTAAAACTATTCCTACTGCTCTGTGTCTGAGATTTACATAAACAAACCCAGTACCTGATGATCCCTCTCTCTGACCCAACCAAACAGCCGTAACTCACATCAAACTCCTTCCTCAATAAGACATATCGGCCCCAGGTTTATTAATGCCCGGCCTCGCTCTCAAACCACGTGACTTAATGATATTGGCCACAGCTTTGATCCCTGGACCCGAGGACCACTGGTCAGGACAGTGGAGAGGAAGTTTGATCTCTTATCTATCCCTTCAAAAAAACAATAATAATGTGGTCACTAGATCTAGAACTGTGACTGGGAAACTACTGTGTGCAATTTGTTGGCATTTTTCGCCCACAAAAAANGTTGGTTATATTGACTGAGTGAGCAGTGTACAGCCTTACCTGAACGTGCCACAGTCCGGTTTCGGCTCAGATGCTTTAAATGCAGAGATTTCTTGGGCGATTACGCTTCTAGTTTTGAAAGCAAATCATATGCTTTATAAGCAGGAAGTGCAATGGAAATTTAGAGGAAGTGAAATGAAATACATAGAATCATACAATGTTACGGGACAGAAGGAGGCCATTCGGCCCATCGAGTCTGTGCGGCTCTTTGACAGAGCAACTGACTTTTATTAACCCCACACACCAGCTTTCTCCCCATAACCCTGCAAACCTTCCAGATACCACCATCTCTGCTTTCTGTCTCCCAGCCAGTACTGTATCCACGCTGCCACTGTCCCTTTAGTACCTTTTTGCCCACATAAAAAGTTGGTTACATTGAATGAGTGAGCAGTGTTACAGCCTTACCTGAACATGCCACAGTCCGGCTCAGATGCTTTAAATGCAGAGATTTCTTGGGCGATTTATGCTTGTAGTTTTAAAAGCAAATCGTATGCTTTATAAGCAGGAAGTTCAATGGAATTTTAGAGGAAGTGAAATTAAATATATGATAAAGTAACAATAACCATAAAAGGAGTGAATGTCCTTTAAGGGTTGTGGGTTGAAATTTCACTTGTCAGCAGCATACATCGTGCTGGACTTAAGAAGAAGCAGACAGGTTCTTTATCTCATACTGACTTGGAGTCCTGTAGTGCATTGGTTAGAGCATTCACCTTGCAAGTGAGAGGACCAGGGTTCGATTCCCGGGCAGAACGACACTTGGGGATGAATCTGTATGAAGCATTCATAAAATGTGACAGCATTGAGACCATTTCCATGTATACCATATTACCTAATGTACATTGCTTAGTGGGGTATGCTGCTGGAGCTGTCCTCTGCACCTAATCAGTACAAACTAAGTCCACTTGGCCTGAGGACTCCTTAACTCCAGATAAACTGGTAACAGAGAGCACAAAGTGACAGGAATCCAGTGCTGACCACACCATTATCACGTGAGAGTTTCGCATCCGCTTTAAATGTTGACTTTAAGTTTAGTTCTGCAACGGAATCACTTTCAGGTTCTTCACTGGAGGTATTTAAACAACCCAGTGGAGGAAGTGAGAAATGGAAGGAACTCCAGTGGAGTGCTGGAGGAGTGCTGCATTATCAGAGCTGCTGTCCTTTGGATGAGATGTTATACTGAGGTCCCATCAGTCTGATCAGGTGGACTTTAAAGATTCCCATGACGCTTTTCAAAAAGAAAAGGGAGTTCCTCTCTCCCTGCTCCCTGGCCAACAATCCTTCAAATAAAATAGGTCACTCACTCCACGCCTCTTTGTGGGACACTGCTGTCGAGTTTTGCCCACAAAATACGCAGTCACTCCACATTACAGTGTAACCTGTGAAGCGCTTTGAGATGCCTCAAGAATGTGATAAGGTGCTATATTAAATGCAAGGATCATTATTGATATTATTATTCAAATTGATAATTAATAACTGGTTAAAAAATACAGTTCAGATTTATGCAGTTCAGATCTGAAGCAAAGGTCTTACCCCGAACATGTATACTGGATCTTCACATCATAAGCCCTGACACATGATAAAAACACGTTAGTTGGGATCGCAGTGTTGTTGTGTCTGTCTACACAAACCAGGTATCGGACAGGCACGTGTGTGGCTCACAGGCTATGGAGCGCTCTGGTTGCTGACTGGTTCTAGCATTTCGAGTACCATCTGTTCTCGAGGCAGCTGGTGAATAATGCTGTCATCGTCTGTGTTGGCACTGTGAAGCTATTATTAATAGGTTGTTGTGGGAAGCTAAATAAGGTAAGATGGACTCCCGCCTAAAACTGTTTGTAAAAATGGCGGTCAGTATTGTTTGGTTTGTACCCGTGTAAGACCTGGAATGTGTTACTATAATGTAATTTAATTGAGCTTTATAATTACTGGATTCGTCAACTAATCGGGGCTTTGTCAATGTCTCCTACAAGCACTGACGGGTTCAGGCAAAGAAGGCCCTGAGACTCATTTGATTTCAGTCTTCCAGAATGCCCCACTGTATTCTTATAACAACAATAAGGCTCTGTCATTGATTGGTTCAGATCATTACCTCTCACACCACCTGCACTTCATCTCCTCAAACGGCTTCTCCTATAGCCCCCGGACCATCTTGTGTGACGTTCCTCAGGGATCTGTCCTTGGTCCCCTCCTCTTCAATATCTATATGCTCCCTCTTGGTGACATCATCCGCAGACATGGGGCCAACTTTGTTGTTTTTGAATGAGTCGGAGAGGTGTGCGGAGTAAGGAAATACACCTAAGGTTTCACCACGCTCAGAAATCAAGCCCGGGTCCTCTCATTTGCATGGCTCACCATTACACTAGGATACTCCTCTCTCCAGTGTTGTGAAGAACAACTAGGTAAGATAGGAATCTTCAGCCTAAAAATATATGTCTCAGTGGGGATCTTGTAGAGGCTTGCTTACAATATGTTAAACAGAATTGAAAAGGTATATTTCGATCATTACATTCATGTTTGGTCATGTGTGTGCCAGACCCATGTGGAAACCCATTACCATGTTTGAGTGTTAAAACCAGACTGCAGAGAGTTCCACATATGTATGTTTCTTGTTTGTGCGCACACAATCCTGGTAAAGCCGGGAGCCTTTGGGAAACAGAACTGTGTTTTTCTCTAAGCTCTGCCCTGGAAGCTGTGTGAAAATCACCTCGCCCAATGCTGTGTTTTTGTAAACAATTTACACAAACTCCTGTACCAATGTTCTTTATTTTCTCATCATGGTGAGTTACAGCAAATCTTCAAACAGAAACAGCCAGGTCTCAGGATTCCCCATTCACACCGCAGGCTCAGCGCAAGCTTACTGAAAAAGTGTATATAACTGAAGCTCATTATCTCTTTATTCCCTTCTCTCTCTCTCTTTCCCCATAGAAACCACACAAAGATTAAGGTGCTGCAGGTGAGCTGGCAACACTTGTCCATGTTACAAGATCACACGAGAGGAGGTTTGGATAATTGTGTAATAAAAACTGAAAAAAGATTCAATCACAATCTTGCCTATGTTTTGCCAGCTTTCAGTGTAGAAGCAAATATTTCCTTCATCAGTGCCTTGGTTGTGGGCGCTATAATCAGGGCAGCACTGCCCAGCTCCAGCGAGTAAACCTTCTTCAACATCAGCTGGTTTACAAGCGATATTTGATATCAGTCGCAATCATCAGAAATTTCTGTAAAAATTAAGAAGATTTATCGCACCGTATCACGTTCAACCTTCTCAAAGCGCTTTATAGTAATTGAATATAGCGGCAAAGGCATTAGTCTGCAGAACTGTCCCAGCTGTGATTAGCCAACTCAGCAAAGACCAGGAAGAGAAGCCGGGATAGAATCCTGATGTGTACGGCTCAGTATCAAACTGTGCATTGGCTTTACCAACTCACCCACCCAGAGCAACAACTGGAGCACAGTCTTGTCATTGTTTGTGCTTCTCAAGGTTAAACACGTCCTGTCACTTATTGCAATCTTTCTGTAGCTACCTCGCTTCCAGTGCCAGCCAGATCAGATGCCAAACAGTGCAGTATCATCTCTAACCCATGAGAAAGTCACACCAGTGAAATTAATTGCCTGAATCCCGTGTTATGTTTTATTTTGGCCAGCCGTGTGTCTGACACATACAGAAACCCATCAACATGCTTAAGATTATTCAAACCAAACTGAGAATTCCATGCATCCCACCGAAACATGGAAATTCCAGTGATGGATTGATTCTCTCCCTGGAGGGTCATATCCTACTTACCTAATTCCAGAAAGTATTAGATGCAGCTTGGCAAGAGCCAAGGCTTGAAGACCCCATAGTATGGGTTGGGGTACTGGTGGAGTCTAACCAACTAAAACCCCATAGCTTACCATTGATAGCATTGTCTGGCAAAGTGTCCAGTTAGGACCACCCTACATGTTAGGGCTTTGGCCTGCAGGGTTAACAGGAGCTCAGTGGGCGGATTTGCTGCCCCCAGTGACTGTTGTTAAGTTGAACCCTGAAGCAGCCGTGCCAACTGGGCTACATGGCTGGCAGATGCTTCCTGTGGCTCATTGAAGTGCAATTCCATTTCTCAATCACTCCAGCCTTATCCCCTGGAAGGGATGATGGAGAGTAACAAACAAAAACTGTCGATAAGAGCATATCAGATCGGACAATTACTCACCTCTTTCACCTTAATGGCCGGATTTACAAAACTTAACCGATCCAAACTTGGAAGTGGATATCCTTTCGCAAGTAAAGCTGCAAAGAGAACTCCAAATCATCAGCACTCAAACTTTATAGCTACCTTAATTTATCAGTGATTACAGCAATAGGTCAGAGTTACAATCAATGGAGAAATGCACTGTTCAAAGGGAGGAGCTGTCACTGCGCCTGACACCATCAACACTAACTAACACGCCTGAGGCTTCTCTCAATATCCTTTTTAAGTTACTTACCATTGATTTTCGGCAGCACTGCTATTTTGGTTGCAAAGCTTAACACTCCCTCCAGGGATGATGTCTAAAAGAATAGAGAATATGTTTACAGTAAATAGCATCTAGACTGTGATTCTATGATTCTAGGAAATTTATTCAGTTCTCGCTCTCACCTCAAAGGGGCCGATGTTCGAACGTCCCATCGACAAGTCCAATCTACAGAACGGAGAGTAAAACATGAGGACAACCCTGTGCAACAAGAGTGACGAAGCAACAGCAGAGACTGAGGGTGGCGTCACCTGTACTGAGGGTTGTGTGCATCGCCCAGTGTGATACTGAGTCACATGGACCAGGAGAGCTCTGATTGCAAAATATTTTCGCTCACAAAATACAGATTGATTTTCGATAGCACTGTTACAATATACTTTGTCAATCGACTTTACAATATGTTATGTGAAGCGCTTTGTGATGTCTCAATGATGTGAACGTGCATTATACCAAATACAACTAATATTATTATTGTATCAAGCATACATTTATTCAATAAAGCCATTAATGAATCTAATTGCCTCTGGGTCAATCCTATTAAGTGGCGCTGGGGCGAGTGGGGGGAATGTATTTAGTAGAACAATAATAAAGTGAGGAGTTTACCTTTTAATTTCCAGTGATCCTGTCAATTTATCCCCAGACAAAGATGGCGTGGCAGACACGCTGACATCCTGCAGAAAAGTGAAAACATCTCCTAATGTTTCATGGTCAGTGTTGCTGTGGAGTGTGTGACTGGACACTGTTACAGTGTGCTGTGGAGTGTGAGATCTGTCAGTTACTTACAAGATTCAGGACAAACAGAGGAGCCAATGAGGAGTTTGGTAGGATTGCAAATGTATCAGCAGCTCCGGTAACTGCAATGGTGATGCTGTCCGGGGTCATCCTCAGAACAGGTGGTTTGAGGCTGCGGATCTTCATGAGCATCAGCATCTCAGGATAGAGTTCCTTCAACTGGGGCAGGGATTCACAGCATTAAAATCAGCTCCTTCTCCTCTCACAGATTATTAGTGTCGGGTAGAAGAGTATGGAAGAAGAACTTACCTGAGGTATAAAACCACCAAAAGTTGATGTGCTTAATCTGATGGGAAATGATTCAGGAATCTGGAGGGAACAAAACAATAATAAAGAAATGTGGTACCATGTTCAGTGCAATGCGATGCCCGAACGCTTACAAATAAGACTATATTAATAGAGCAGTGCTGTGTACGGGCTGGGGAGGGGCGTGTGAAGCAATGTCCATCTGCTTCTGTGGTCAAAGAATTATTTGTCCTCTCTGTCTCTGTCCAGAAAACTCACATCGTGAGAATACACAGTGTAACGTGACCCACAACATGGCAGACCAAGGCCCTGAGACTGATCAAACATGAGATCATTGAGCAGGAACCCAATGCCCTGGCTACAAACTCAGACAAACTGTTGTAGCTCCACCTAAATTAGTCTGTACGTACCATACTGTCAGTGATGTTTATCTGCAAGGCTCCAGCTCTGTGATACACAAACGCAGCTGAATTGAAAAAGAATTCGGACACAGCCAGGTACATCATGTGGTTTGTTTGTTCGGGGAAGCTGAGTGGGCCTGCGGTGAAGGGAGGCTCCTGATGCCGTCCAATGTTATAGAATTCACCCTGGGGAGAACGATTGAAAACTTCAGCCCTCATACACCATACAGCAAACCTCACACAAGTCGTATCAGTTGGGACTTTACATTTAATATGACTAATGCAAAGTATGAGTTGTGTCAAACTTGCATAGAATATAAACTCTTGAACAGATCTTGGGCAGATGTATGATTTAGGTGATTATATGATTTATACAGATCAGACTTATGCGGGTTTTACTGTATTAACAAAAATACACAATAATAACACACAAATAATACACAACATTGTGAAGCACTTTGGGATGCTTTGGGCGCTATACCAAATGCAAGGAATATTATCATTACTACAATAAAAGTCCTTCAAGCTGTGAGTGCAATTAGACACGGCAGCAAATAAGCAAATGGAATTCTAGATTTCACATGTGGGTGCCCTGGCTATATGTTGAGGTGAGGAGGTAACGTTCACTTTTTACAAGGCATCAGTTAGGCTACAGTTAGTTAAATTACATTTGTATAGCATCTTTCATGACAGGAGGATGTCCCAATACCTTAAAGTCCAGGTCCATGAAGTTTCTTGTGACTACAGGAGGATTAACCAGGGAGTAATCGATCTCAGCAATTCTATCAATGTTGGCAGTGACTGGGATTTTAAAGGGAAAAGAGTCACGTCAGTTAGTTAGTTCTGGAGTCCTGTAGGGTAAGTGGTTAGAGGACCCGGGTTCGATTCCTGGGTGCGGCAAAACTTTCGTTAAGTTTCCTTACTGCACATGCCTGTTTACATAGCTGTAAGTACAAACGCATTTGTTAGTCGATTGGTGGATTGCTTTCCGGGGTAATAATCCCTTGAAAAAGAATTGGGTCACTGAATCGACAACTGTGTTTGGAAAACTGCTGTGCACAATTGGCTGCTGTGTTTCACAAAATCAATCCAACAACAACAAATTACATATGTCTCAAGGCACTGGACAATCAGCGATTTGGACCCAAATGGAGAATTGGGATCAGGAAAGAGTGACCGAAGGCATGGTTGAACAGGAGGGTCTTGGGACTGGCTTTGAAGAAGGAAAGGGAGGGAGCGAGGGGAAGGGACTCTGGGATGGACTTCCAATGCATGAGGGCAGAGAGGCTAAAAGCTCGACAGCTGATGGTGGGACATGATGCAGGCTGGAGCCCAATGAGTGGAGGGAGTGGACAGGTCTATATGGAATTAGCAGGTTACATAGGGAGGGAGCAGCAAGGCCGTGGAGGACTTTGAAGGCGAGGATGAAGATTTTCAGTAGAGCCGGCTGATAAGGTCGTGGAGCTTAATGTGGAGAGGACACAAGCTGCAGAGTTCTGAATGATTTGCAGCTTGTAGAGGGAACAGTTAGGAAGGCTGACAAGCAAGGGAGTGGCATAGTCGAGCATGGATGTGATGAATGTGAGGGTCTCGGTGGCCTGAGAGGGGAGGCAGTGGCGGAGCTGGGAGAAATTGTGGAGGTAGGGGAAGGGTCATTGACGGATGTGGGGTACAAAGGACACTTTGTCGAACAAAACGCCAAGGTTTACAACATACTCTATGAAGGATTATTAATGTACAATTTGAAAATGTTTTAACCTACCTTTCAGTGTTTTCATTTTCGGTTCAAGCTTATTGATTACCTTTGACACTTCTGGACAAATCTGTGGCAAAAACAAATTAATTGATGGAAACCAATCAAGCCGGCAGCAGTACCTTGGGTTTGGAGTGTGCCAATTCCACCAATGTGGGCTCAGACTTGCTAATAAATGTTACAGGAGAAGAAGTGCCAATGTATGTGAGCAGACATACCTGCCGGTTGAGCAAAGAACGAAAGCGTCTCTCTAAGGGACGACGGAATAGGTTGTAGAGCCAGCTACAAAGAATAAATAACAGTTCAATTAAAGGTAAAATTGGATTAAAAATCACAAGACAGAATCTTGCACGAGGGCTTAGAAATTAATGAAGTAAAACTAAGTCTTAGACACATTGCCCAACTCAACTGCTCCCACAGGTAAGGATTGGGCTGTGAAACTAAGTACCAGCTGTCCATCAGGTGTGTTCATCAATAAAATATATCAGTGATCCTATCTGCAATGAACATTTGATATGTAATAATAATAATCCTTGCTTTTAAGATAACACCTTATCACATCGCCGAGATGTCTCAAAGCGCTTCACAGAATAAATCGTAAAGTGAATCGACTGTATTTTGTGGGTGAATCTCAGCAGCCAATAAAAGCTACAAATAGAAAATACAAATACAACACAGGGATTCTCTGTTATGTGAAATTGTTGCTCTCTGCGATGTGTTTGGTTACCTCGCGCCTCCACGCAATTTGATCCTGACTCTGCCAACATTGGCGCGGCAGCCCGCGCTCTTCACTGCAGGACGTCCGGTCTGATCACTACTCATCCTGATCAGCTCTGAAACCGAGAGGCTGTTCACTGATACGTGAAAGGAGCCACTGTCTCTTCTGTGGAAAAGCACAAGAATAATAATAATCCTTACATTTGATATAGCGCCTTATCACATTGCTGAGATGTCTCAAAGTGCTTCACATATTATAGTGTAAAGTGGAGTGACAGGGTATTTTGTGGATGAAACACAGCAGCCAATTGCACACAGCATTGTCCCAGAAGCAGTCGTGGATTATTTTATGTTTTAAAAGGGTTTGTTACCCATGGAAAGCGATGTGCCAATCGACTATCAACCGGGTTGCTACTTACTGCTAGATAAACAGAGATGAGTCGAGTTAAGAAACTTGTCTAAGGTTTTGCGCCGCCTGAAAATCGAAGCCGGGTCCTCTCGCTTGTGAGGTGAGCACGCCAACCACTACACTACAGGACTCCATTGAGTCTAGACCGGACTGAACTGATGCTCCAGCACCTCAGTAGCTTTCCAACACTAACTGTGGACATCAGCATGTGAGAACACTTGCCTTCAGAAAAGTAAACCAGAAAATTGACGCAACGCTCTCTACTTACATGAACCTATATTTCATCCTCCAGTTGCCGCGAACGGCTATGAAAACATTGTCGAGGGAGAGTTTCATGCCAGTTCCGGGGGAGAACGCCATTGTAGATCGGGCTATGTTAAAAGTCCGAATATGAATCCTGCGTGGAAACAGACAGCGTCAACTTACACTGTGAACCAGGCCGCCTGATTTCAGATCAACCTGAGTGGATAATTTGTCTCCAGCTGACGAACAATCATGCCATAATAATAATCTTTGCATTTGCTATAATACTTTATCACATCTTCGAGACGTCACAAACAGCTTCACAAAATATGCTGTCAAGTGAATTGACTGTATTTTGTGGACGAAACGCGGTAACCAATTGCCACAGCAGTGTCCTACAAACAATCGTAGGTTGAGTGACCAAATGTCTTAGAGTGGACCTGATCAGTGTTCAGCCAGAGGATAATCAGCAGGTGGAACAGGTTACCCGGAAGGGTGGTTTGAAGCCAGAGTACTGCATTTAAGAAATAACTTGATGCTCTAATGACACTTGGTTACATGTGGTTACTATTCTGAAACAATGAGATTAAACGACTGAATCGCTCCTGTGATTTTGTCACAGAATTTTTTGTAAAAGAATTTCATTTACTTAATAATGATCCTTGTATTATTACCTATAACACTCAAATGCCTCAAAGTGTTTCACAGGGACTGGCTGTGTGGTGATCGATTTGCTTTATTGTTTGTATTTATTTAGTTTGCATACAACAAGGTCCCCAAAAACAGCCATGACCAATTTATCTGGAAGGTTGTTGGCGAGGACAATTGCCTTCTCTTTTCAAATCGTACCATATAAACATTGCATCACTCCCCAGCACTGTACTGGCTGGTCAGCCTCGTCTGCGAGTTTGAGATTCCCTTTGGGGCCACAGTTCCACGCTTTTAAGCTTCTTCTTATTTCTAGGGAACCTACGCATTCTCCTTCTATTGTATTGTTTTGAGATCTCTCCTTCTCCATCTTCAAGTCACGCCTGAACATCTTCCTCTTCGATCGTGCTTACGGTCACCTGTGGGTTTCACTCACTCACCGTGAGATTTGGTAGCGTAGTCTGCGTGCTCTGCCCCTTTGATCGGGGATGTTAATCTTCTTCAGTTCCTCTTGCAACACCTGCATTCCAACTTGACGCCCTAGAATGAAAGCCACACATTGAAACATTGCAGCGCTCCCAGGGCACCAAAGCATCCATTGAGCAACAGCGCCTTGAGACATCCTCGTTAACTAAGGATTGTATTGTATTGCGCCAAACAGAAGGTCTCAGGTTGTGCTGGGTTCATGATCACTGACTCTCAGTTAGGGAAAGGAAAATGAGCAAGGGATCTCACTCCTCATCCCTAACCAGAGATTGTCTACTGGGAACGACTCTTTCTGAGTGAGACCTGTTCTGGCTTCCCCCACCTCCGCATCATTGCCTGGCTCCGTCACTGCCTCTCTTCTCGGGCTGCTGAGACCATCATCCATGCATTCAACACATCTAGGCTCGATTTTTGCCAACTCCCTGCTTGTCGATCTTCCCAACTCTTCCCTCCACAAACTGCAGATTATTCAGAACTCTGCAGCTCGTGTCCTCTCCCACACCAAGCTCGGTGACCCGAACCCCCGCAACCTCCCTCGGCCCCACTGTCTCCCCATCCCCCAGAGGATAGAGTTCAAAATCCTCGTCCTCGTTTTCAAAATCCTCCGTGGCCTTGCTCCTCCCTAACTCCGTGACCTGCTAACTCCATACTGACCTGTCCATTCCCTCCGTTCAGGAGACTCCTGCCTGCTCCATGTGCCCGGCCCTGCCTGCTCCACCATCCTTAATTGGACCTTCAGCCTTTCTGGGCCCAACCTTTGGAACTCCATCCCACAGTCCCTTTGCCTTGCTCCCTCACTTGCCTCCTTCAAGGCCCATCTCAAGACCCTCCTCTTCGACTGTGCTTTTGATTAGCCTCCTACCCCTACCTTCCCTGACCTTCACCCATCCTGATCCCAAGCCCCAGCTTGGGTGCAAAACGTGACTGTGAAGCGCCTTGGGGTATCCTCCCGATGCGGTGTAAATGTAATTTGTTGTTGTTCTGTGTGTGGAATTGTGTGACGACTATAGTTGGGCTATAAGATCCCACATGGCCAAATAGCTGCTAATACATACTCTCCAGGCGCACACAGGGATAAGGTACCAGAGGGTGATCAGTGCCTGTGGACCATACCCTGGTCATGGGTTAAAGGATTGAAAAGTCTTCACAATAGGTCAAGGGCAAAAAAATGGAGCGAAAATACCTCCTCTGCATAAAAGCTCCCACCTTCCTATCAGACGTGAACACACTTACCATAGTCCAAGGCATTTTGTGTGACTCTGACTTTCAGTGCTGGGTTTGTGCACAGGGTTTGGGAAGAGAGGAACAAAAGGACGACTGTCACCATCCAGACCATCTTTATCAGGTTGTCCACCTCGCTGCCCGTGTGTGTGGGTTCTGATATTGGAGGGCGAGGTTAGTCACTGCCAAGACACTAGTTAGACCAGTTTTAATCATGATCAGTCACAAAACATCTCATCTGAAAGAAATGTGGCGCTCTCTCTCACTACTGCACTGAAATACTCAAATACCCACTGTTCTCAAATTGAGAACCTTCTGGTCCAGTTGTGAGAGTGCTGCCTCATGAGTCAGGGTACCACTGCAACACTGCAACTGATGCTGGATGAGGAAGGCCCTTCAACTTATTTGATCACAACCTTCCAGAATTCTTACACTACTGTCTTCCCGTTACAGGGTCAGGGTGTTGCCCAGGTTCCTGGCTTCAAACACTTAAACCTTTCCAGCACATTGATTACAAATTTTTTAAACAAATACTTGTTGTTGACTCTCTGCTCTCCACATGCCTGAATGTGTTCCTCTTGTCCTGCTGCTTTTCATAGAACCTTATACAATCATAAAATCTTACAGAACAGAAGGATGCCATTCGGCAATCGTGCCTGGTTCGGTTCTTTGGAAGAGCTGATCATTTCCTTCCAAAGGGAATTAACTACCTGCATGATGAGGAGGAAAACTTTTGGAGGAGGGAGGGGAGGCAAGCAGGAAATTAGTTTATTATTTCTCATAATATTGAGTCTCACTTGGGAAAGAAAACTAGTGCAGACCTGAAGAGCGCATCTCTGTGCTGCAATGCTCCAAGGAACCTAAGGAGCTCAGGGCATTTTAGGAAGTATTACAAGTTCTATTTCATCATGTCATTTCCAGAGTTACTTACTACAGATTTACAACAGACTTGCAACAAATTTACAACAGTCTTACAACCGAATGCAAAATGAGGAACAGTGAAATACTGAGAGCTTGGCTTTAACTGAAAGAAAACTAGTGCAGACCTGATGGGCGCATCTCTGTGCTGCAATGCTCCAAGGAACCTAAGGAGCTCAGGGCATTTTAGGAAGCATTAAAAGTTCTATTTCATCATGTCATTTCCAGAGTTACTTACTACAGATTTACAACAGACTTGCAACAGATTTACAACAGTCTTACAACCGAATGCAAAATGAGGAACAGTGAAATACTGAGAGCTTGGCTTTAACTGACCTGAGGGACTGTGGCTAAATTATCAAATAATAATAATCATCTTTTCATTTGGTAGAGTGCCTTATCATGTCGCAAAATGCTTCACAGGTTTTACTGTGGAGTCCTGTAGCTCAGTGGTTAGAGCACTCGCTTTGCAAGCGAGAGACCTGAGTTCAATTCCAGGCAGGGCGAAACCTTGGGCAAGTTTCCTTACTCCACATGCCTAATAATAATCCCTCCAAAACCAAAAACAATAATAAATTGGTCATTTTCAATCTACGACTGTTTGTGGGACATTGCTGTGCGCAATTGGCTGCCGCGTTCGCCCACAAATATACAGTCAATTCACTTTACAGTGTGTTCTGTGAAGCGCTTTGGGATGTCCTCCTGACATGAAAAGCGCTATATCAAATGCAAGGATTATTATTATTATTATTATTATTATTACTGTGAAATGGAGTAACTGTACTTGCAAGCAAATAGGGCGGCCAGTTGCACACAGCAGTGGAGTGAACAGCCCATTTTATTTGAACGATTGTTGGCCAGGACACAGGGAAAGAGAAACTCACTTCTCTTTTCCAATATTACCATGGGATCTTTAACATTCACCTGAACAGGCAGACGGGACCTCAGTTTAACGTTTCAACCCAAGGTTGGCGCGTCCAATAATGCAACAGCCACCCAGCACCTCATCGGAGGGTCAGCTGAATGAAAAGTCTGATATTTTTAACCTTATGGAAAAAAAGCTGAGACTGAAATCAGACATCAAGAGATAAAACGTTAGAGGTCAGAAGTCTGCTCTGTGTTTCATAATACTATAATCCTTGCATTTGATATAGCACCTGATCACGTCTTTGAGACATGTCAAAGCGCTTCACAGAGTATACTGCAAACTTGATTGACTGTATATTTTGTGGGTGACACGCGAGAGCCACTTGCACACAGCAGTGTCCCACAAACAGTTGAGGATTTAGTGAGCACATTTTTTTTTAAGGGATTATTAAACCCCGGAAAAGTGCTCCTCCAATCGACTAACAACCGGGTTCCTACTTACTGCTAGGTAAACAGAGCTGTGTGGAGTAAGGAAACTTGGCTAACATTTCACCCTACCTGGGAATCAAACCCAGGTCCTCTCGCTTGTGAGGCGAGTGCTCTAACCACTATGCTACAGGACTTGGTTTTATGTTAAACACAGCAAGTGTTCCTCAACCAGCAGCTACCTGCTGAGCTGAATCAATCAGATTGAAATACTTCCAGGAAGTTTTGTATCTCTGTTTTTAGAGAGACTTAAAATGAAAGGCAAAATGAGGAAGAGTGAACTAGTTGAGTACTGAAGCACCTCTCTCAGTACTCAAAGCCTGATTTATCCAGCTCCTCCATGGTCTGGGGCTGCTTGACACAATTTCTTTTATTTGTCCAGCCCGGTGTCTATCACACGCAGAAACCCATCACCGTGCTTAAGGTTATCCAAACCAAACTGAGAATTCCATGCATCCCCCCTACACGTGGAAATCCTAGAGATAGATTGTTGGAATGGCATGTGCACTCTCTCCCTCGAGGAACGCATTCTGCTTACCTAATTCTGGAAAGTATTCGGCACAAATTGGCAGGAGCCAATGCTTGGGGACCCCAGAGTGTATATTGAGATAACTGCTGGATTCTAACCAGCTAAAACAGAATAGCTTCCCATTGATATCACTGTCTGACAAGCTTTTCCACTGCTTGTCCAACTAGGACACCCTCCCCGTTAGGGCTTTGGCTTGCAGGGTTAACAGGAGCTGCAATAAGCTAATTCCATTGACTGAGCAAGCAGCGTACAGCCTTACCTGAATGTGCAACAGTCAGTCAGCTCAGATTCTTTAAACACAGAGACCTCTCAGACTATTTATACTTGTCATTTTGAAAGAAAACTGTATGATTTGTAAGCAGGAAGTTCAGTGAAATAGATGATACAATAACACCAACTATAAAAAAAACTGGATCAGGAGTGTCCGTTAACGGTTGTAGTTTGTCAATTTGCTTGATGGGGAAGTTGACAGTGTAAATCGTGCCAAACATTACCTGGAACCAGCGTGGCTCTTTATCTCATACTGACTTGAAATCCTGTAGCCAGTATATTGGTTGGAGCACTCGCATTGCAAGTGAGAGGACTCGAGCTCGATTCGGGACAGAACCAAACGTTGAGCAAGTTTCCTTGCTCCACATGCCTCCGTTTACCTAAGAGTAAGTAGGAACCTGCTTGTTAATCAATTGGTGGATCGCTTTCTGGAGTTAATAATTCCTCCAAAAAAATGTAATGATTTGGTAATTCAATCCACAATTGTTTGTGGGACTCTGCTGTGCACAATTGGCTTCTGCATTATTTCACCTACTATATATACAGTCAATTCCCTTTACATTATATTCTGTGAAGCGCTTTAAGACGTTTTAACAACGTGAGATTGTTGAGACCCAGGACCCTTTTCCGCTGGTTAACTTTAGACTACATTTCCTCTGCACGGATTTCCAATATGCTGCATCTCTTTTTTATCCTTCGATGTCAGCTCTTCCTATGATGCTGAAGCAGAATTCACTGGAGTGTTTGGCCGGTAATCGTGAATGTGATTTGGGTTAGTTTTACCCACACTGATAACGTTGCAATAGGAATCGTGAGGTCAGATTTTCATGCTGTTTGTTGATCAGGAACAATAAAGTGACCTAATACATGAGGGAGTAATGTGGATCTGTTTTTACACTCTGTTTGCAGAGGATCACAGGGTGTCCAGGACCCTGGAGAGCAGTTTCGGTGGCTATTATATATGTTACAGTAAAGATGTGAAACCAGGGATTTCACAAAAACCGTGAAATTTTCAGTAAAATTGTGAAACCATGAAACCACTCCCCCCACTCTGTCCCCACCTCCATTAACTCCAGTCCACAGCTTGGGGGCAAACCCCTGATTGTCCAGTGCCCTGGGATGTCCCCCTGACACGGAAGATGCTATATTAAATGCAATTAAAAGGATTATTATTATTTATTATTAATTTGTTGTTTCATCAGTGCCAGACCCACGTGGAAACCCATTACCATGTTTGAGTGTTAAAACCAGACTGCAGAGAGTTCCACATACGTATGTTTTTTGTTTGTGCGCACACCATATAAAATCAGTTTCCTGGTGAAGCCCAGAGCCTTGTTATAGCTCCACTTTGGGAAATAAAACCGTGTTTTTCTCTAAGCTCTGCCCTGGAAGCTGTGTGAAAATCACCTCGCCCAATGCTGTGTTTTTGTAAACAATTTACACAAATTCCTGTACCAATGTTCTTTATTTTCTCATCATGGTGAGTTACAGCAAATCTTCAAACAGAAACAGCCAGGTCTCAGGATTCCCCATTCACACCGCAGGCTCAGCGCAAGCTTACTGAAAAAGTGTATATAACTGAAGCTCATTATCTCTTTATTCCCTTCTCTCTCTCTCTCTCCCCCAAAAGAAACCACACAAAGATTCAAGTAAAGATGAGATACATTTACCCTGGTGATTGTTAGGAAAAGACAGATCTCCATCTGGGAGGATTGTTTTCCAGTTTGCCAGTGGAGCAAACGGAATAATTTGCAGCAATGTCCTTTCTCCTCTTTATCTTTATTTAGTTGATGAGCAGGTGCTGCATCGAGAGCAGGTGAGCTGGCAACACTCGTCCATGTTACGAGATCACACGAGAGGAGGTTTGGATAATTGTATAATAAAAACTGAAAAAAGATTCAATCACAATCTTGCCTATGTTTTGCCAGCTTTCAGTGTAGAAGCAAATATTTCCTAAAGCAGTGCCTTGGTTGTGGGCGCTATAATCAGGGCAGCACTGCCCAGCTCCAGCGAGTAAACCTTCTTCAACATCAGCTGGTTTATAA